AGAATTAGACAAATTAGGGTTAGGGTACTTATGAAATAATAATTGCGATTAAAAAATAATGCACAAGCCGATTGATAAGATATTCGTAACTTTACAAAATGTTTAACATATCAGCATCTGATAGATACTTTTGGAATGCAATTTTATATAATAAAAACTTAAGACGATTTGTCATCACATGTAACTTGATTTAGAAAATAGAAAATATAACAATATTAGCAGTGCAGTATGTGCTCGATGTGGTGATTAGGACATTCAAGATGAATGAAAAGTGTCCATTTTATTCAGATTTGCGCATTAAGTATTTGAAATCGTACGTTAATCTAAATTTATTTAAACTTATCCAGTTACTAAGTGTCAATAACGTCAAAGAATTAGGTCATCTTGGGAAATCTTACATCACGGTAGCAGTTAAACGACGTGCAGATGTACTGTAAAATGTCTAAATAGTCTTTGTTAATGTTAACAATATTGTTGTTCTCTCACTCTCCTGTACAACAATTATGTAATTCATGGAAGTAGTACATGGTTAAAATGATTCTAAATGCGAGTTAGTGCAAAAGTACTTGCAACGAATTCGAGTGAGTGAACGCGTGTGATCGGTTGTGTGTTCAGGTATCGGATTGTGGTGGTGTTGTCGGAGTCTAAGAGTGCGCATAGGTTAGAGTGTAAGAATTAGTACAGGTAACAACGAATAGATATCAATTGAACATTAGTATATTCCATGCGTATTGTTGAATCTTAAAACCCATAAGACTTCCGGAATAAAGAAATTGAATTTAATTATCGTGCAATTAATGTGTGGTTGATTTAATAGGAACCGTTCTCCAGTCATAGCTTCGCTGGTTGTAATGACACGAGTGACAAAACAATATTCATAGACAATGTGACATTACATTGATATCAGGGAAGTCATAGAACAATGAGACACCATTGTTTCTCATTCACAATCTGTGTGTATGTTTACGTTAATCTCTATTTGTAAAAGACATTCACGCACACAAACATTTATCTTTGTAAAGATATCTGTCTGTAAAGACATTTCCGCACACAAACATTTATCTTTCTAAGGATATCTTTCTGTAAAAGTAATTCACGTACATAAACATTTATCTTTGTAAGGACATCTGAAAAAGACATTCACGCACACAAACATTTATCTTTGTAAAAAGACATTCACGCACACAAACATTTATCTCTTGTAAGGACATCTGTCTGTAAAAGACATTCACGCACACAAACATTTATCTTTGTAAGGACATCTGTCTGTAAAAGACATTCACGCACACAAACATTTATCTTTGTAAGGACACCTGTCTGTAAAAGACATTCACGTACATAAACATTTATCTTTGTAAGGACACCTGTTTGTAAAAGTAAAGACATTCACGCACACAAACATTTATCTTTGTAAGGATATCTGTCTGTAAAAGACATTCACGCACACAAACATTTATCTTTGTAAGGACATCTGAAAAAGACATTCACGCACACAAACATTTATCTTTGTAAGGATATCTGTCTGTAAAAGACATTCACGCACACAAACATTTATCTTTCTAAGGATATCTGTCTGTAAAAGACATTCACGTACACAAACATTTATCTTTGTAAGGATATCTGTCTGTAAAAGACATTCACGCACACAAACATTTATCTTTGTAAGGATATCTGTCTGTAAAAGACATTCACGCACACAAACATTTATCTTTGTAAGGATATCGTAAGGATATTAAAGACATTCACGTACACAAACATTTATCTCTTTAAGGACATTCACGCATCTTTGTAAGGATATCTGTCTGTAAAAGACATTCACGCACACAAACATTTATCTTTGTAAGGATATCTGTCTGTAAAAGACATTCACGCACACAAACATTTAAAGACACATAAACATTTATCTTTGTAAGGATATCTGTCTGTAAAAGACATTCACGCACACAAACATTTATCTTTGTAAGGATATCTGTCTGTAAAAGACATTCATGCACACAAACATTTATCTTTGTAAGGACATCTGAAAAAGACATTTACGCACACAAACATTTATCTTTGTAAGGATATCTGTCTGTAAAATTTATCTCTTTAAGGACATCTGTAAAAGACATTCACGTACATAAACATTTATCTTTGTAAGGACATCTGTCTGTAAAAGACATTCACGCACACAAACATTTATCTTTGTAAGGATATCTGTCTGTAAAGACATTCACGTACACAAACATTTATCTCTATAAGGACATCTGTCATTCACGTTTAAAAGACATTCACGCACACAAACATTTATCTTTGTAAGGACACAAACATATCTGTCTGTAAAAGACATTCACGCACACAAACATTTATCTTTGTAAGGATATCTTCACGTTTATCTTTGTAAAAGACATTCACGCACACAAACATTTATCTTTGTAAGGATATCTGTCTGTAAAAGACATTCACGCACACAAACATTTATCTTTGTAAGGACACAAACATCTTTGTAAATATCTGACATTCACGTACACAAACATTTATCTCTTGTAAGGATATCTGTCTGTAAAAGACATTCACGCACACAAACATTTATCTGTAAAAGACATTCACGCACACAAACATTTATCTTTGTTAGGGTAGATGTCTGAAAAAGACATTCACGCACACAAACATTTATCTTTGTAAGGATATCTGTCTGTAAAGACATTCACGTACACAAACATTTATCTTTGTAAGGACATCTGAAAAAGACATTCACGCACACAAACATTTATCTTTGTAAGGATATCTGTCTGTAAAAGACATTCACGCACACAAACATTTATCTTTGTAAGGATATCTGTCTGTCTGTAAAAGACATTCACGCACACAAACATTTATCTTTGTAAGGATATCTGTCTGTAAAAGACATTCACGCACACAAACATTTATCTTTGTAAGGATATCTGTCTGTAAAAGACATTCACGCACACAAACATTTATCTCTTGTAAGGACATCTGTAAAAAGACATTCACGCACACAAACATTTATCTTTGTAAGGATATCTGTTCACACAAACACACAAAAAGACATTATCACAAACATTTATCTTTGTAAGGATATCTCTGTAAAAGACATTCACGCACACAAACATTTATCTTTGTAAGGATATTTATCTTTGTAAGGATATCTGTCTGTAAAAGACATTCACGCACACAAACATTTATCTTTGTAAGGATATCTGTCTGTAAAAGACATTCACGCACACAAACATTTATCTTTGTAAGGATATCTGTCTGTAAAGACATTCACGTACACAAACATTTATCTCTTTAAGGACATCTGTAAAAGACATTCACGCACACAAACATTTATCTTTGTAAGGACATCTGAAAAAGACATTCACGCACACAAACATTTATCTTTGTAAGGATATCTGTCTGTAAAAGACATTCACGCACACAAACATTTATCTTTGTAAGGATATCTGTCTGTAAAGACATTCACGTACACAAACATTTATCTCTTTAAGGACATCTGTAAAAGACATTCACGCACACAAACATTTATCTTTGTTAGGGTAGATGTCTGAAAAAGACATCCACGCACACAAACATTATCCCTAGTGAAAAATAACACTTTTTTGTCAGAAACCTAAAGGTATCTTTTGTTAGTAACACTACTTTCAATTCCATGGTAAACTTTTTAGTACCACGAAAGACAGCTAACAATGCAACACAAATAACCTTATCGGACATTAAATCCTATTTCCAGCCAAACGTCTTGAATGTGAAGCAAACGCATTATACATTTCAAGAGGATTCGTGCCATCAACAGCGACAGCTGAAGGTTGCTGCCACATTTTCAATCGCGTAGTAACTTGACACAGGTTAAACTCTGTGAAAGTTTTACAGCAGTTTTTTGTCTGTTAGTGACTTGAATAAGTAACAATTTCCATGGAAATACAAATGTACAAAATTGAATTTACATTGATTTTTTTTTTTGTTATTGTTGTTAACATATCCAATAATTAGAAAAAAATTAATTAAAACCTACTTGTACCTTTTTTGCCAGCACAGGAGGAAACTTAACTGAAATATCACCAAGTTGGTGTTTAAAATACTTGCGTTTTTTTAAACGAAATGTTAAAAATCTTATTGTTTCCAATAGCTTCGACAGATTTTTCAGATTCAGGACTAATACTGTTTACTATGTGGATAAATGAGAAAGCGTACTTAACATCAGTCAGATTCCAGAAGGGGAATATTGTTTTAAATACATTTATCATGTATTCTGATTTTGTGCGTGAATCACACACGACTTGATCAGAATTTCTGTATATAGAAATTTGTGTGGCCACAAATGAGACAACTAAAGTTCGATTACTGAAGATTTTGAACATGACGTTTGATATGTAAAACAAAATGAAAACATTTGTAATTTGGTAACCGTAATACTATAATTTTGATTATTTTTGTTCCAACTTACATGTAGGGCTTTGAAAATATCATTATACAAATAGAGATTGCAAATAAACGAGAAATGTTTTGTAAAATTCCAATAAATATAATAAAACAGCGCAGAAATGCCTGAATGGCGGCCATGAACCACTGGTATATATATGTAGGTTATCAGGTGGTTATATATCACAAAAGAACCGTACCGCTCGGGACGAATTTGAAGACATTCAAGTGAAGAAAGTATAAAATCGAAGCTCAAGATCCTTTTTCGCACAGCAAATTATATCATTAACGGGACAAGGGAGGTCACTCGTGGAAGTTGTAGGTAACATCTGGCGGCGTTGTATACGTGCCATGCGAAACACGTGTCTCCAATAAATCAATGTAAAATATTAAAACTACTACAAAAAAGGCATATTCATGTAACATACAGCTCTCGAAGAAAATTTACCTGAGAAAGGAAATATTTTAGCAAAATTTTCGGAGGAACAGATGAACACCAGAGATTGATTCGGTAGTATTGAACTGTTGAAACACGTATTAATTTTACTTACGTGATACAAACATTCATCACAAAGAAAATGAAGCCGGTCAAGATAACACTGACCAGTTTACTACTCGTGTGTTTCCTTAGTGTGGTTTCTGGACATGTTCTCAATATCACGGAGAAAAATATACACTCGGTAAGTTGGTCTATATTCAGTAAATGTTTCATTTCATTGGACTTGGGTCTTTGGTTACGATATTTTATTTATTCATATTTTCACGCATGGATTACACTATAAAACTTTACCCTTTAGTTTGAAGATTTACAAGAGTTTCATAGAAATAGTCAATTTACATGCTTACGTGACACAAGGAATACGTCTACCAGCTAAAAAGTCTATGATCAAAAGTGGATGGATTCGATATAGGGTTGATGGATTCGATATAGGGTTGATGGGTTCGATATAGGGTTGATGGATTCGATATAGGGCTGATGGATTCGAGATAGGGTTGATGGATTCGATATAGGGTTGATGGATTCGAGATAGGGTTGATGGATTCGATATAGGGTTGATGGGTTCGATATAGGGTTGATGAATTCGATATAGGGTTGATGGGTTCGATATAGGGTTGATGAATTCGATATAGGGTTGATGGATTCGATATGGTTGATGAATTCGTGATAGGGTTGAGGGATTGAAACAGACTACATGACAAAAACTTATCAAAATACACCTGTCTGTCTTCAGTTTCCCGTGTGATATCACATGGTACAAACTTTTTATCTTGTTTGATTACTAGTAATTTAATCATTATTCATAATTAATGTGAAGAGATAAAAATGAAGTTGTCCTTATTGTGAGCTTTATAAAGTTTATCGAGAGACATACACATGTATTATAGTAAAATCTAGGAACCTTTCGGTATGTAAACAACTGTATTTTTATTAAGAATTTGTCATTTATATTTGCAGCATTGTGCAATTAATGATTTGGTGTTAATGGAGACCTCTGATTTTAAACGGGTTTACATGAATTATAACATTACACAGAGTAACGAAGTTAGAATTAGAGTAAAATTCGTGAGTAAGAAAAGATGTAGCGATGGTGACAGATGCGTAAAATCGACCAAAATTAACTCACACGTCTTACACTGAAGCCTGCCCCAGCTGTTGTCAACTGTCTCTGTAGTATTGTATTGTGTACATGTGTGTAGCAAGCAAAACAATTTACACCGACTTCATCGTATTCCTAAAATATCAAAATGTTAAGTAAACAATACAAAATAATATAGATTGATTCACAATCAAGTCATCTCGGGAAATTCCGTGCAGACTCGGTTACGAGTTTAAACGAAATTTGCCGAGGTATTACGAACATTTATACAGTTAATTTTGTATGGTTTATACCTTACGATGTAAGTTCTTTAAGTTATTTATCTTTTGTTTTCAGTTATTGGATAAAAAGAAGTTTTTGTTGGTGTTAGTCACAAAATCAAGTAAGTATCACAATGATGGATTTCCAACACCCACATTGTACATTATGGGAGGAACAACAGTTTTGCACTGCTATCATATATGTTTTTCCCGCATAGTTTCATATCGGTAAAATATGTTGTGAATAATTGGTAAAAAGGGTTATACGAATCTTATCTAGATTAGGTATACTAATAGACAATATGTATTTATACTGTGTAATCCATTAACTCGAACACAAAATAATAAGTTACATTTTGTACCAAATCTTTACTTACAATGCATTGTCTTCGTAAGTGAATCAGACATTCTGTACATTTGGATTAAAATGTATAGACTCATAAAAGTAGGGTATGCAAATTCGGTTTCACAAGTTCAATATTATGTACGTTCACCATGCCACACATCTTCTACGCACGGAACTGATCGACAGTGAAATACTTGGGAGTAATCTGTCATATACCTGACAATGTAATACGTCACACGCCCAACGTTACAGGTTTGACTCCTGACGTAGACGTCGTCCTATTTCATCCCAAACTTTCTCCACTAGAGATAAAACCCTGAGACACAACATGCTAAGGTAGCACGGTGACTTCTGCTATTGTAGATATGTCCCAATGCAGCATGAGGTCGTGAGTTGTCCTGCTGCAAATCAATGTTAAGATGACTATTACGGCTCAACGGGAAAACTTGATGACGTATAACTACGTCACGGTAGCGCACATCGGTCAAACTGCCTTCCACTATATAGCCAAAGACTGAAACGTTCTAGCAGTCACTGGAGCTCACTGGGCCCGGACACTTGTACATGTAATTAGTAGAATTTGGTTTGACTCAGTCTTGAGACTTGACTACTTAGCAACACGAACTCAAGACACTTTTGGAAACTTGTCCGCAGACTGATTAAAGCATCTTATATATCAAAATTCTTTTCCACCTCTCAGGAATGGGAATGGAAATATAGAAATGGAAGACAATATCGAATGACAATTTAATTTCTATACCTACCATAGACGATAACGATACCGACATTCCTACTGTAGAATCAAGTAATGACGTCACAATGAAGGCAACGTCACCTACAGACTAGGCTATGTGTCAATCGGGAACCATCGGCATTTTCCGTAAGCGAGAACATTTTCTCGCTTGCGGAAAGTGCCGAGGGTTCCCGATTAGGCTATGTGTGTGAGGGTGTGTGTGATGTGTAATACTATTTCTGCTAGAGATATAAGCTTAGTTGATCAGTACATTTGTAAGTAAACACCATGTAAGCCAAAAAAAATGATATTGTACACAGTGTGAAATATTCCACGTTTTTTAGAGTGCACACCCTGTGGCCTAGTCTTTCCCAAGTTTTGGTCAGCCTCCCAGTCGTACGAACAGGATGTGATATTTGGGCGCATGCGTAGTAAGGCTCTAGCCTTGAAATATAATGTTGATGTCTTCCCTACCATCGGGTACTTTGAGGCGGGGAAACAACAGTTCACAAAGTAAGTACACTGTATAGATAAGAAGCTGTGATTGGATCGTTCTTAGAGAAAGTGCAAATATGATGACGTATAATTCATGTCTAAGTTATGTATCACCACGGACTTCGATATAGATATGTATATATATTCCTTGGTATAACCTGCTACTATCGTTTCCTTTTTTTCAAACAATTTCAGACATATGCAATAACATTTTACATGTCGACATCAATTTCTACCCTTAATCTGAAAAAAAGTCAGTTGTGTGACGTCATTGCGTCAGAACCATTGATTGTACGAAACATTACAGACTAGAGGTATTTGTGGGTGATATGTTGACAGGTTTGAAGGCGATATCACAGTGGATACCATTGTGAATCTTATTTCCAATAAATTGGGCACAGATTCTGAAGATGTCATCAAGGAGTACTCGACACGCCTGGACTCGTACAACTATCACGAAATCATCTCCACTTGGGGACTGAAGGCTATGATTCTCCTATATGACAACAGTAAGTGGTGTATAAAATGTGATCCATTTAATGAACTGGTCAAGAAACATTTTAAATTGTTAAATACGAAAATTATTGAATTTTTGTTGTGAAATATTTTCACTAATTTTGACCAATCAGATCACAGTATTTGCAGAAATTCAAGATTGCAATACAAACTTCAGGAGCGACAACCCGGGTAGAGATGCATCTTTTTTATATTATCATTTTATATGGAGTATCGTTGTTTACTACATAATAAAAGTGTTAGCTTTTTATTCCGTCTTTATCTGTAAACACACTAACAGACTTGAATATTTTCTGTGTTTTTTTTTCTCAGCAAATGACGACACTTTTGAAAAATTCAAAGAACTAGCTCGGATCTTCAGGAATGATGATGAGGTGAGAGGAGGCAAACAATGATTTAGTTCTTTATTCAGAAAAGAATGAGCTGAAGGGGCAAAATAGGATCAGTCAATTAACGAACATTACTCACCAACCACGAAAGTCACTCAGTTGTAAAATATTATCCTCCTCTCTTACCATTGAATTTATAGCTCCATTTTTCACCAGATGAGGATGTTTATACCAATGTAGTTTCCGTTGACACCGCCAGGCGATGTACTTCCCTTTGACACCGCCAGGCAGTGTACTTCCCTTTGACACCGCCAGGCGGTGTAGTTCCCTTTGACACCGCCAGGCGGTGTACTTCCCTTTGACACCGCCAGGCGGTGTAGTTCCCTTTGACACCGCCAGGCGGTGTACTTCCCTTTGACACCGCCAGGCGATGTTTTATCAGTAACTTGATTTCGTTTGATAGTATATGTCCATAAAAACAATAATTCGCATACTCATCATCATGGGATATGTTTATCAAATATAATTCACTTTGTCACCACCAGGTGTCGTTTCTCCATTTTGACGTACGAACAGAGCCCGAGCTTCGTAAACAGTATGTATACCATGTTTTTCATACTTCAACAACGATCTATGTGGGACGTTGAAATTTTTATCTAATTGAAAATATATGTTTTTCTTCAGTCAAGCGTTTATAGAGACAATGTTCACAATATAACCAAAGTTTTCGTGTCAGAACGATGATAGTGAAGTGGTTGATATAACAATATTAAGAGCCACAAAGTCGTCCACTTTGAAGTCCTTATATCAACAAATATTGTATGCTGCAAATTTTAGGTTCGTGACTGTGGCTTTCCCATCGTTGTTCTGGATAGAAAATGGTGATAAGCAAGTGAAGAAGCGTTACGGAGGATCCATGCGGAAACTGGAGTTTATGGGCTTTGTGGAAGACCGTACGGGCGTGTCCCGTTCCAAGGATGGTTCACTTCCTTCCAAGGTAACGGTTTCCGAAAGAATTACGTACTACAAAAATAAATATCAGGCATCATGAGAAGATTAACTGAAATTTTTAATTTTCAATTTTTATGATGATCGTTTATAAAAAAACGTTTAAACAATCTCTTGCTGAAACATTTTTGTCAACATTTATAACATGGAATATTTTCAGGCAGGACGTATTTCTGACTTCGATAACCTCATCGCAGATAACATCGAGGTCATCAGGAAAGCCACTCAGATGGTAATCTCGGCACGCAAGGGCTTTGGAAGGGGGAGGGGACTGGCACCTCGTGTTAATCATTATTGAAAAAAATATTCACAATGGAACACATTTCTGAATAATATGACCTGTATCAAATATCAAGTATATATCAATATGCACGAAATTTTTTGCTTTTGCCGCATGCTGTACCTAGTATTGATTGTGTATTTCACAAAAAAAACTGTTATGGCAATTTGATTTAAAATATTTAATCTTTATCCTTAATAATGACGTCACATGCCTAGCGAATGCGTATTTTCCGTTGAAATCTAAATATGGAAATTGTGTTTTATGTAAAGACTAACTTTGAAACGCTCGAGAAATATCAAATTATTCAATTCTCACTTCATTCACGATATTTTTTTCATATCCTCGTTATTTACAAAACAAGGAATGATAATTGATTTGTTTACGTAGTAGATGTTTGGCTATATATTGTTCCTTATCCAAATAGTTAAATTGCCCACAACGATAACTGATACTGAAATTATCTTCTATAGAGTGAACTACTGGTAGCAGCTAAAGATATCGCCAAGAAATACGAAATGAATGAGTAAGTATATCGTACAATAACCACCCTATATGTTACTAAGAAATTCGATGTAACGATTTCCACTGCCGTTTACCTGGTCCGGAGGGGACATTCAATATAGCAGCGACGAAGCGCGATGTACCATAGTACATAGAACGGACATTCTTGTCTAATATTTAAGATTCCTATGAATTTTGCACTTTCACGCAGCGAATATCTCACGATGGAATTGATGAACATCATCATCTATGCGAAAGGTACAAACATGAGTCGATGTTGATGTAATATTAACCTGAAATTGATGTTGATTGTGACTGAGAATTTGAAGCGGGAAGGTTTAGACTAATTTCCAGTTGTCTTCTAGTTTTCTTGCTCAGTTGTCACATATATCATATCGGCATTCTTACCTTACAATTTTAAATATTTCAGTGCATTTTGCATCTCGTGTATGCAGTAAATGACAAATGAAGCTCAATTTCAAATGAATGACTTTTCAGTTTAAATACTTGTCAGTACCTTTATGGTCCTGTCAATCAAATATCAATGTGCGTGTAATGAAAAAGTAAATGTTTGGTAAAACACTAGATAAATGATGCATTCGTTGACAATCTATAAATAGCTGATCGGCTCTTGACATGCTACTATCTCAAAATGTCCCCTCCGGACTACATAAACGACGGTGGTTTGGATATCGGCATTTCTGTATCAAACGTGGGTTAATCTTATCGACAGAAATGGTTTGAAATATTTGAAGAAAAAAAACGTGTTAAAAATATCATTTAAACCTATCAAGATAAGAGCATATTTGGTTTCCGTTGTAAGGATCGAGAACCTTCGTCACTTTCCGTAAATGTGACGTGCGTCGTTTCTTACACGGAAGGTGCCGAAGGGACCGATTTAGCACGACATGATATTCTGTCGATTTTATCTTTTAATTGATTATATTCAAACGTTAATGAAATTTTCTTTACAGTTATTTGCATCTTTGAACAATTTGAATAAAGTCATGAAGCATCTTATGTATTTCATGTTGAAATACAACTTGGTGTTGGTTCAACGATGACAAAATGTACTTGTTCTGTATTGAAAAAAAATAAAACATGATTCGGCTTCAGTTCAATAATATCTGTCTGTTTTAGATTTGCTGATTATTATATCTATCTGCTGGAGTTTGTAGAACACCACGGAAAAGTGGACACGCTAGACGAGGAACGAATGGCAGTTCTGAAGGCCCTTGCATATACTGACGGTTAGTCTTATTTACCCGAATGTCACCATTAAATAAAATATACAAAATCGAAAAAACAAAAAATAAAGCAATAATCGATGTTTTAGACCTGTATCTACAATCGTGTAACTTGAAAAATGAACTGTGAGTATTTATTTCTTTACAGAGGTGACCTTTCCGAAAACTGTGGAATACTTCACCAAAAGGAAGAACATTCTCAACCAGTTGGTGGATGAACTCGGTAAGGCTGTTTTTAAGAAAAATAAATACCAGTCTGAATTTGTCCATGTCCAGGACATCAAACCAAAGAAGGAGTACGTGAGGAAAATGCCATCAATTGTCAGCGCAGACGAGGGAGACGAAGAGGAAAACGATAGAGATGTGGTGGAAAAACCAAAGATTCATCTTCACGAGGAATTGTGACGTCATGGAAGAAATAGGAAGCCGTGTAGATTTGAAATTGACATGGTTTTAACTTTTTGAATAAGAACTGTTATTATATAGTGAGTAAAAGATATAAAAGGTCTGACTGCTGTTGCAGCTACGTTAAATCTCCTTGTCAATCCCAGGGGCTAGTCGCCAGCAAACATATCTAATGGAAGGCTTAATAAGACACTAAAAATGACGTCATGGAAGGCAAATTATGCATGACGTCACAATAAGCAATTGACATATGTAAAGTAGGAGTGAATACCGAAAACAAGAGTTGATAATTATTATTTTAAACGTATCAAAGGAAACGTTGGAACAATTTATGCTTTGTAATTCCTAAATGTGTAGCCATCCGGGAGTTTAAACAAAATTTATTTTCCCGTTACTACAATCGTGTGCTGTATTTACTTTTCTGTCATTCATTCATCCTAACGGAATATTGTGTCATTCGGGAAACAACCATTCTGTTAATTATCGGGGTTATTGACTATGTACATTTATACATTCCATATTAAATCACTCGGTTTTAAAGTTATATGAATGTGTTGACAAGTTTTTATTATATATATATATATATATATATATATTAATTGAATCGTATATTATGAGATTTTCTCGTAAGTGAGCAGGAAACTAATACAAAAATCGTTTCGTGAAAATTGAGGTTTCAATTAAAAAATGGCACAACCATTTCCCATATCCGAACTCTTTTGATATACGTACTTATCATCAAAGAGGAATGTCTACCTAAATGACAACATCCACATTTGAATTGTGTTTCAAAAAATCGGTAAAAGCTTTTATTTCGTAAACTGTTTCTAAAAACATTTACGTCAGAATGAAACGTGTCAGTAACAATAATTCCGCCATATGAAAGGGTACTTACAACCTGAAGGCAATGACTTAATGCTAAGGCTGTTAAAAATTCTTTAAATTTGAGTAATTAATTTTTATCTTATTAATTCCTAGCACGACAGCAACTGAATCTAAACATAAAACCCGTTTTTAATTCAAGCATGGTATAATGACGTGGTATCAAGGGCTAATAACTTTGCTTTCAGGCAACGTAATGCTTTGAATAGCAGCCCATATAGTTTGAACTGAAATATAATTACATAATTACAATGAAGGTCCACAGTAATAATTAAGAGGTTGAAAACGATATTGATTGAAAGCAAGATATTAGCCGAATTAAAAGACAATTTTTATTCGAACATATTGATGTGAATTTAGGCAGGCACAGGACAGGGAAATTTTGAATTGCAGTATAAAAATGGTTAGATTTGAATGATTTTATGATTTGCAACAAGGATATGATTTGGAATGTACTTAAGGTAACATTTTAAAGATTTAAACAAAATGATGATATGTAAATTATCCCGATATTATATTACATTGAATAGTTTCATGAATATTAATCATAACTCACGACTTAATTGAAACAGCTGATATAACATAAAGAATAAAAACAACAGATTTTCGGTAAAATGTTTATTTACAGAGAGCCTGAACACTGCACTGCAGGAACATGATAAAATAATACTCTGGTACATCAACAACAACATGTAATACTGATCTTTAGGAACAGAGGAGGATACACTGGAAATATTGAGATATATGAAATTCTCGCCATACAGTAATGAAAAAAGCTTAACGTTCGCAAATTGACAAAAAAATAGAAAAAAAATCCTGGTAAATTAATATGTAAATTACGAATTTGTTTCTTGAAAAAGTAACTTTAAAATTTGAATAATAATATTTGCATCGCTACTATTATATTTTCATAAAGCTCCTCACTCTGACCTAATTTACATATAAGAATAACACGCTTTGTATAAATAGTATTTTAAGGTATAAATATCACAAAGGACAATTGTTGTAAACAACTATAGAAATAGTCTTTATCTATATAAACTATGATAAAAATGGAACAAAAAATGTAACAAGGAATACTGATATGGGCTTATCAGAAAATACTTCAGAGTAAATCCGGATCCACAAATCCGCCCTGACGGTTTTGTCTATTATACTCGTGTTTCCAGATCCGGTTTAACAAGTGTACAGCGACAAAAATTTGAGCAATGACTACTTCATGTGTTGACGATTTTAACTGATCAAAATGTTTGTAACAAAACTGATGGTTGGTCCTCGATATTTTTTGTTACAAATTTTCTAAATTATTATCTCCGTTTGAAACACTGGTTTGGTGATTATCTCCACGCCTCTGAAGAGATGTTTCTACTGTACTGTGGGTAAGTATCCCTGTATCGGGCACTGAATACCAAGAAAAGAAAAAACACATTTAAAGAAACGAAATGTGGTTCATTATTTCGTATTTAACAATATTAATACGATCCTCCTTAAACTGAAGAACTGTCTCTTTCTAGCATTTCAAAAAGCAATTTACTGACCGTGACTGCTTTCCAAGTCCGTTACAGCTTAGATGAGACTACCTTACACTATACAACCATACCGTTACTCAATACTGTAAGTACACGACCCTGACATGTGTCATATCTACATGTATCTAGGTGGTCCTCCATGCAGTTTCTTTCCTACTTATTATATAGTTCCCGATCAGCTGACTGCTTTGTTATAATATAAAGTGGCCGGTATATAATCATATGGTTAAAACAGTCATGTAATGCTGTTGTTAATTTTGATAATGCCAAAATAGTTTAAAAGAAAGAACCCTGGCTTTCGTAAGATAACGGTATTAGTAGACGTGGCAAAACTTCGGAAAACGGATGTCGCGTCATCATTTCGAGACGTGTTCACTCAATGACGTCAGCACACTTTAAAATACTTACAAAACGTTAGCAGGCATTGGCCGCTGTCCGTACTGGTCCAGAGTTGGCTCCTGTTTTAAGGTGTACTGTAACACACACAAAAGAAACACATGTTTTAACAGTATTCTGATGTGAAACAATATGCTTGAAGTGTAAGACATCAAGAACGTTCAGTCCAATGTAAATCAAACAAAGCATTCGTTTTTTTTTAAATTATATCCCGTTGGTGTTAACCGGAGTTGGTGAAATCAATCACCATATTCTCTGTATTTTATTTTATTTTTCAATATCGATTTTAATTTTTCCTGATTACATTTTAATTCCCGGTCTATATTTCTAAACTTATGACCCTAGTATCACTGGCGACTCCTAAAATGACATCACAACTATGATCTTACTGTTACAATTTTGTATAAGATTTCAAACGAGTCAAAATTAGTGACGAGTTTCATAATCACATTTGAAATCGAAATGAATTAACGTTCCTGTTTATTACATAATGAATAAATCTGGCAAATATTGCAGAAACGTTCTCTACCACTTCAAACGGATACTCAGTGTCAGTTCTTAATCTACCATCTTCATAGTGATCGACGTCACAATATAATCAAAATACCAAAACGACAAAATACTACATACATAAATTCACTGAAAAACAGCAAGCATATGATAGATACTACACCGTTATCAGTGTAATAACACGCAACATTGTAATTTGTTGTATCACTTGTGTAATATGACCTAGCAGAATTTGATTGGCTGTAGGTTCCTATTTTTCCATTATGACGTCATAACTTCATGGCGTCATGTGCCTTGTGACGTCACAAATAACGAGATGTAGAAATGGATGGAATATCATCAATTTGGATTTTGTATCTCCCTAATAAATGTATCTACATGTATGCGCAGTCGTTTCTCCAAGTGTAGCACTAAATATGCAAATAAATGCTGCATTTCAAGTAATGTATCTGTAGATAATCGTAGACAAATATACTTAACCAATTACAAATCAATAGCATTATACATTATGACCAATTAAAAACGATCATACTTATAAATCTGACTAATCACAGGGAATATCACTTGCGTCACTTACCCTCCAGGATTTCGTGATCTCAGGTCTGAGGTACCGTACAGAGTATCCCAAAAACCTCTGATCTGTAATAAAGAGTGTGTTACTCGATATATAGAACATCTGTCGAACATTTTCAACAAATTATATATAAATGCTTATTATGATACCTTAAAAATACCTTTTCTAGTGGTCGATTTTGTAAGAAACTTGACGGGGTTTAACATATTTTAACGTAAAAGATTCAGACCAAAAATAAATACAGACAAGTAAAAGACAAGGATCTCTTTATGCCTCATCAATCTTCTGAATTCAACAATAATGTCACTCTATGTTAAAAAAACTCCTTTCGGTTATTTTAATAGTTCAGTTCTGATGTGAATTTTGTCATGTATCTACAAATACCACTGTGATCTATTCAGCATCAGCGTTGTTTAATTATCATGAACATATAAAACGGGTTAAACAATGATCTGCAATCAATCTGTGTAATTCTGCGTTTAACATCTGTGTTATTTGTGTAAAGTCAATTATGATTTTATGATTTACCTTTGCTGTCCGGAAGTTCGGGCAGTTTAATGTTAAAACGTTCTGGGGATCTGTTCAGGAAATCTGACCATTCCTCTTTGGCTTTCCTATAAATTAAGAAAGTTTGATTTATGTTCAGCAAGTATGGTTCGTTGTGTATTCCCCATCTCTGCTAAACAAATCGATGGTAAGGAATATGTCTCTTTTCTGTCAAGTAAAAACCTAAATATGACGTCACATTGACACGTGATACAATTATACATGTACTTACTTCAGCTCGTCGGGCGTTGTGTAGTGTCTGTGTAGCTGTTTTCCTGTTTGTGTGATTTCCTGTAAACCAAGACAACAAAAATCAGCAAGGAAGAAAAGTGAAAATTTCCAACACACACAAAACATCGTAATGATATCAACAGACAAAAATGTATGGAGGTGTCTACTTGACAGACTAAACGAATGTATGGAGGTGTCTACTTGACAGACTAAACGAATGTATGGAGGTGACTACTTGTCAGACCAATCGAATGTATGGAGGTGTCTACTTGTCAGACCAGTCGAATGTATGGAGGTGTCTACTTGTCAGACCAAACGAATGTATGGAGTTGTCTACTTGACAGAAAAACCGAATGTATGGAGGTGTCTACTTGTCATACCAAACGAATGTATGGATGTGTCTACTTGACAGACCAAACGAATGTATGGAGTTGTCTTCTTATCAGACCAAACGAATGTATGGAGATGTCTACTTTACAGAAAAAAACGAATGTATGGAAGTGTCTACTTGACAGACGAAACGAATGTATGGAGGTGTCTACTTGACAGACTAAACGAATGTATGGAGGTGTCTACTTGTCACACCAATCGAATGTATGGAGGTGTCTTCTTGTCAGACCAAACGAATGTATGGAGTTGTCTACTTCAAACGAGTGTATGGAGGTGTCTACTTATCAGACCAAACGAATGTATGGAGGTGTCTACTTGTGAAACAAGATATTGAATTATCTATTGTACTAGCTAGACAAACATACGGGAAATCTATTGGTCTTACTGTAAAATCTATGTAGATTTCATCACATTTGAAGTTAACAACACCAGACAAAATTTAAAACAATTCCAATTCAACACGAATAAGGATGATTGGTACTTACCAGACTGGACATTTGTTTTTTGGGGGGATCAAACAGCGTTGACGTGGATCTCTTAAAATCCTCTGAAAGACAGGAAAAATGACATTCAATTCAGACTGCCTTTATAAAAATTGTGAATAATTTGTACGTTTCACTTTGTTTAAAACATAGCATAAGACAACTGTTGTGTGGAAATCTGGGTTACAGAGACAGTTTTCACGATGTTGATCAGCGTGACTCTATCAAGAAGCCTCGAATTTCTATTAAAGTAATAGAATTTGGCTGTGCTTTTACGGAAAGAAAATTTTTGGAGTATATTGTAAACTTAGTATGTACATGTGATTTCACGGCTTCAACTACATGATATGTCTCATGTGTGACACACGTGCTGTATTGGAACTACTTCCATGAAAATTTTACATTTTCACACTGATTGGAACAAACAATGTTTCACGTTAATTCCGTATTGATTATTTCTTTATCAAATTAACCCAATTACACATTATTAGTGAAATATTTACATTATCTCTCGCTCATTTTACCGATCATAAGATGGGATGTCGATTACCATTTCCCCTCTGTTGTATGTAACAGAGGTCATTATTTTTTTTCAGTGCCTTAGGTAGGATTCGAACCCGGGACCTCTGACTTACTAGTCTGACGCTCAACCGATCGAGCTGAAGAGAAATTCTCTCTATCCTAGCAGTATATTGCGGCTACTAATTTACTAGGGTTACATTTAAATTTTGATGTATGTCATAAGAATGAACTAAGTTTCTGTACAAGGTCTATAACGCGTTCGACTCCCACAGACTAATTTATTCACGTGATCCTTTCGTAATATTGACATTGTTAGCTACACTCTGTGTGAGTTTATTTCGAGTTCAATTCGTGTACGTGCTGATGTTACGAAAGTAGTTAAGCGTTCAGGTATCCAAATTTAAACTTCATTAATAGTACATGTATTTGCATTCCGTCTGTCAGCGTATAGATTTTATAAAAATTCAATGAATAGTATATGTCTACACATAGATATCACCGGGTTATACCACTCGTCACCGTATAAGCCTACAAATGGCTGTCAACTATCATTAATGGGCAACTCAAGAGCAAATATTGATTTTTAAAAAATCGATAAATGTGTCAATCAACATAGATAAGCTTTAAAAATAATTTTATAACAGTTGTATAGGCAGACACAATACAGGAGCTTTCGGGCTTTACCCCCTGCAGCGGTACACAACCCCAGTTAGACACCATACGGGAGCTTTCGGGTTTTACCCCCTGCAGCGGTACACAATCCCAGTTAGACACAATACGGGAGCTTTCGGGTTTTACCACCTGTAGCGGTACACAACACTAATCAAGCACAATATAGAAACTCTCGGGCGTATTCCCCAGTAACGGCATACAGAACTAATCAGACACATATGGAAGCTTTCGGGTTTAACCACTGTAACCCTAGCCAGTCACAATACGGGAACTTTCGGTCTTTACCCCAGTAACGGCATACAGAACTAATCAGACATATAAGGAAGCTTTCGGGTTTAACCACTGTAACTCTAGTCAGTGGCAATACGAGAGCTTTCGGTCTTTACCCCAGTAACGGCATACAGAACTAATCAGACATATATGGAAGCTTTCGGGTTTAACCACTGTAACCCTAGTCAGTCACAATAGGGGAGCTTTCGGGCTTAACCCACACTAACGGTGCACAACCCCAGTTAAACACAATACGAGAACTTTCGGTCTTTACCCACAGTAACGGTACACAAAACCCCAGTTAGACACAACACGGGAGCTTTCGGGCTTAACCCACATGAACGGTGCACAACCCCAGTTAGACACAATACGGGAACTTTCGGTCTTTACCCACGGTAACGGTACACAAAACCCCAGTTAGACACGATGCGGGAGCTTTCGGGCTTTACCCATAGTAAACTTAGTCAGTCACAAAAGGGGAGCTTTCGGGCTTAACCAACATTAACGGTACATAACCACTGTTTGACACAATACGGGAACTTTCGGTCTTTACCCCAGTGATGGTACACAAGCCTAGTTAAACACAATACGGGAACTTTCGGTCTGTATCACCAGTAACGGTACATAACCCCTGTTAGACGCAATACGGAAGCTTTCGGGCTTCACCCGAAGTAGCGGTACACAAACTGAAGTCAGAAACATTACAAAGAGCTCTCAGACTTTCCCCTAGGTAGAGTATACAACCTAGGACCAAACAAAATAATCTTTATCCAAAAAGTCATCGGATTAGGCATTTTATAGACAAATCATTTTAGGGATAAGTGTCTGGTAATAGTGAGGCTTAAGGGCAATTTCAGAGTTTAACGTCGGTGATTCTCATAGGCGAATGCTATTATCCGGTTCGTTGTCCTTTTCTTTCCCCATGCTCAGTGTCGTATCATGGACGGACGAATTACTGGGCTAATATCGAAATATAATATATATTATAATTAGGAATGCCAGTCGAATGTTTATTTATTTATTTATTCTTCATTATATACGTTATTGCGAATATTTTGTAAATAAACATTCTTAAAAAGACACCGTACCAGCGATTTTAGTACTGTTAAAACACAACTTAGAGAATTCTGAGTGTATGCTCTGTTAATGAAACCATGATATACCTGGTTATGCTTGGCTGGTTTACTTTTAACGTTTACCAGTAATAAGCTTACCAAGACTAAGTATATTAAACTCAAGTTAAACTAAACCTATATCTACGCTCCCTTAATACGGTTCCGTGATTATATTAAACCTCAAAATTAATTTCTGTGATTATCTGACCCCATAATTCACTTCTATCATTATTTTATCCTATGATTCAGTGATATAATTGTTTAACTTAAGATTCAGTTTTGTGATTAGATGTCCCCAAAATTCAATTATGTGATTATTTGATGTTCTTATCCAAGTAAATCTTGTTTCGTTTCTTTGGAGAGGTCGTGACACATGACACAACACCTAGTATTTGTTATATCAGAAAAAAATTACATAATGGATTTAGTCAGCAGTAGTATTCAGCATAGGACTCCTATTCAATAAAATATAGATTATACAATTACACAATTTGATACAGATATTAATATAATGGATTATATCTCCAGGAAATGTCTTTAAATTTTTAAGATATATTTATTGTCTCCAGAATAATTCTGTTGACTCCGAAAGCTATTCTAACAGATTGGCACAATCTTCTTGTTGTAGAATTGATAGGGAAACAATCAAACAGAACAAGGCGAATCTTTTTCTTTAAAATGACATTATCATACTGATCAATGTCTGGATTTCGTGAATACTTACACATGTCTGCCGAATTCTTTACTGAACGTACAGACAGGTTTAAATCGCCGAATGAAAGTCATTTTAATTAACTATCAAAGTTGAATATATTCAAGGTGTGTAGGTTAAAACAGGACATCAATCTACACATCGCCATAACCCAATGACATACAAGAATTAGACTTGAGTATTGAACAAACACCACAACGATTAACACCACACTCAAACTTTTCACAAGGACGTGTTAAGGAATGGTCTTTTAATTTCCTTTCCTATTTCGTAAAACTGATGATTCGATCTGATTTTTAGCTGTCGAGAATTTGACAAGGTAATATATATCCTATTATATTTGAAGGTAAATTTAATCTCAACAGTTTACCAGTCCATTAACTGGAAATGCCAACACTTAACGAGGTCAACTGTAGAAATTATTAACCATTAACGACACCGTTATACGTGATTCCTGTTATGTCAGTATTTAAATGTTAATTTTCACCTAAAGTGTATCGTTCACGCAGTGCTAATGGCAATTAGGTCAACGAGAGAAATGTAGAACATTATACAAATATAATGACCGAGGTAAGCGCAATTTATATCATGTCTTATCAAAATGTTAATTTCAATCCAGTTCTTTGAAAAAGTCAGCAATGACGTCGACTAGAGAAATCAAGGACCACTGCTGACAAATATGAACTGATTTAAAGGCGGTGCTCTCGTACAGACTTATCTACGTGAACGCAACGCGGTTTCCTGCATATCAATACCGCGTCTTTGTTCAGTTGAACACTGTTCAGAATACATACTAGAACTTGTCGTTCTTTTGAAATAACCCAACATTTAGAAGTTATGGGGTAGTGCACCTTCCTGACTAGATCGTAGCAATTCTTACGACCTATCTTGAATTTCTTCAGTCGTCTCATTGGCTCCACGAGTTAAGCCTTTAGTGTCACTGATGATTGTAAGATGAGGTTTCTAATCGTGAAAGATGCTATTCTAACAAACGTGAACATATGAACTACTTCCCCGATATAAATACACCTTTCTGGTCGGTTTTTCACATTATTATTTTGTTCGTTTGTATATTTTCCGAATGTTAGCGCGGAGAATAAGTAGGATTACAACTCTTTGTTACAGGGTTTATAAACCCTTAATTCATGTGTCGATCAAGTTACATTGTGTGAGTATATTATATAGGGCTACCACTGGCTAGATACAATTAGACATGAATGCAAAATGTACAACCGGATTTAAAGTGTATTAAATGTTCTGTACACGGTTTACGTATGTATAATAAGATATCTGATTTCTTGATTGTGTCTATTGTGTCAGGCAGTCTACTTTCAATGTGTATATATGTACATATCTTATAGGTTTGAATGTGTAATCCCCTGCCTTTCGGGTCGGGGTACCGAAATGTACGTGTATCTACTTTTATGTGTGTATGTATATGTGCCAGATTTAGAAGGTGTAATAAATGTACAGGGTCAATATTGACATTCACCTACAATGTGTTTTATGACTAAAAACAGTTGATATCTGTATTCTTTGTATGACCTTTACATATTACGCCAGCAAAGTTTGCTTTTAAGCCAGCATATTGATTGGCCGACTCTTATTTAAAATTGCTAACTGAAAAATGCGATGTCGTAAGCTATCCAAGAGAACGGTGTTTACATTTGGGAACGTAGATCGATAAGATTACGGGAGCAGACGAGCAAAGTTTATCAGACTTAAAATAGGATTTTCCGTTATAAACTTAATATCGTATGTTTATTAGACTAAAGCCCATGTTGATTTCCAGTAGAAATTCATTAACTTTAATGATCGTGCCCGTGCCATTTATATCGAAATGTTACTACAAAATGACAGCAAACAAATGTTGTTTTGGAATTATCCCATATATTAGTGACTATTTGATTGGGGGAAACTATTTATGTGTATTTGTAGAACAGTTGGTTTGGACAGTCTGTTATTGACTATGTTGAAAATATGAGCTAGACTGAATCTTTTCCAATTTGGACATTCAACATCACACAAGGCCACAAGCGTTTGACATTCAAACACCAGGTATGATTTGAATATTAATTAAAATTTTGAGTCCCTACGGTAAAAGAGAATAAATTGAATAGGTGAGATGTTTATTATTTATGAATAGTTCACTAATTATGCATCGAAACAGGAATACATTTACAAGTTTCCTGTAGTATTTTATACTTCATCCACAAATATAAATAAAACTCAACGTGCTTTGTCTACCATAAAATATAAACCGTAAAGTATAGGTATCGAGCGAATCCCGCAACGGTATCGTGTTTTATAATACCTATCAGCCTCTGTACCAATCGATGGTAGATCAGGCGGTAACTCATTGTACTAAATAATTGAAGAATTGGGTTAGGAACTGGATCTATTGAACCAAACACCGTGCACACCTGAATACCTTTTGTACAGGTATGGCAATCAGTCGTATCTCTAATCTGTAAGGTATGTTCCACAGTTCCAGTTTGTAGAATACACGTTATTGACTAAACGTATCTGACACAAACATATCTCAATAGTACCATAAATAATGTTGTTCCCATTTCTTACAGAAGGTAAAAATACGACAAATCTGAGTCATTCACACTCGTAAAATAGAAATTTAGTCAATCGAATCATTTGTCCATGTTTTGGATAATCGTGTATATGATATAAAGTACTGAATGCGCGAACTTACATAGGATTACAAAGGATTATAAAGGATAACAGTTCTCCGTGTACGTACATGTATTACGCACAATAAACTAAATAGTTACACAAAAAGTCTGTATGGAATTTAAAAGGCTTTATGAGAGAGAATAGAATTTAATAAAAGACACAAAATATAAAATATGACAAAGTTTGGAAGAAGAAACAAGAAGTGTCCTTACCTGGGCCACAGGTTGTGGTAGTACGGCAATGCTCGTACGGAAGCTTGTGTCCGGCAGTATCCATATCCATTCTGCGGAAACTGGGAAGATTGGGGTGGAAGAGGCCATCTTTAACAGCTGCTAACTGTACTTTACGATGGGAGGGATATTGGTATGAATAACTGGGGATCCTCATGGGCTGTGCCACATTGTTATACGCCGAATCCACGCCTACCGTCGTCATCGCCCTAAACGAAAAATCACAAATTAAGTTCCTAATGCCCTTAATGAAATATATTAAGAATATTTTTTGTTTCTCCTCCGGCGGTGTCCTATAGTACAATGAATGGGTACATCCGACTGTTGATGTATAAATATATTATCCTTCTGTCAATATCTGATACTATTCTGTTTCTTCTTACCTTGATTGTTCTGCGACTACACGGTTTGATAAAGTACAACGCTGCTAATGTTTGCCGCCAACTGTCCGTCCTAGACACCGACAACGTCACCCGTAGCAACCGACAACAATGGGATCGTTACGTCACAATTGAACGATAAACCCCGAGGAGTAACGATAATCTTACACGTGGTTCTTCCTTCTGATTTTGTTAGATCAAATTGTACGTTTTCTAAGCGTCAAGTGACACGTGAAATTGAATACAGAGATAATTGGCGATAGACTTATTCACAGGTAAAGATATCTGACCAAGTCGTGTATGTGTATTTCAATTAGATAATCGACCCCGTGTATTTGGTCTGAGCAGTGGGGCGGTTTGTACCAAGACAAAGGCTTCTGGTCGTAAAGAAGGACGTGTATTCATACCTTTCCTTGTATACCTGTTATCATCGACACCTCACAAAATGCTATGTCAGGTTACCTTTGGTAAAAAACTCGACAATGATAAATCACCTCCGCGATATAGTGTTACACAGGCCCTCTCTAAATAAAGAAAAAACATATACAGACATAAAGAAGCACTTCGTAAGAGAAATTGGGGCCGTTGTAAGTACAGGTCGTGTGAGTGTGTTAATTCTCAAACATAAAATAAAGTAACATAGTACCTATATAACCAATAGGATAATATAGCTATATGTGCTTGTGACTTGACTTGTAGCGAACACACCCAATTGATTGTACAAAATTCACCAGGGGATAACAACTTTCAATACGAATTTAGACGTAGTATCGGCTTAAAACAGCTGGGACATGAAGAGATGAAATTACCCAGGAATGGAAAAGATAGGAAACACTCACATACAGTATATAGATCCCAAATGCGCGTAATACTCCAGGTAAAACACCTTTCAACTTAACTTTTGTTTATAACAGAAAGGCCGGCTTAATCATCACATATCTAGCCAAGTGTCAACTCGGATCAGAAATAGAGGTGCTACATACTACCATTATTGGTATATAAGTTATAGTAAACTTACTTATATTATCTGTTATTGATATTTTAACGCTACACTGGAACTAATAATGGCTGAAAGCGCTTTCCTTTCCTCATTGATATCATGGTTGTTTAAATGCCATTTCGTTTGGTTATTCCAGCTATTTTTTCAATACTAAGTCGTATCCCCTTGAGGTTTTCCTAATATCTCGTCCTTTAACCGTGAAATCAGTTAGGTAAAAGCATGACTTGAAAAACTGTTAGCGAAAAGGCGTGAGCTCTTACTAATCGCGGAGGCCGAACCCAATATCAGTTATCTTACGAAAGTCCGTAAATAGACTCAATTTTCACTTTATATTCATATTTTTTCATACGGTGATGTTATCATTTAAATTTCTATGGGTGGGGGGGGGGGGGGGTAGGGGGCTTCATACGCTAGAGAAGAAGAGTTGAGTACAAGAATACCGTAGAACAGAGAATTGTTGTGACATTCAAATTTCTCGATTGTATCTTCTGATCTGATGACCAAATTTTCGCCTATGATTTCCAATTCGCTGATCGATAACAGTAAAACGTTTGAATTGTGCGAATAGTTCCAGAGGTCACAATTTACGAAAGCGTGAACATTTGGGAGTCAGAATTGATCGGAGATCAAGATAAAATTGTACAACCTTCTACAGTCAGAATTACCATCAGGAACATCCGGGGTAGTGAAACATCGACTTGGATATTTTTGGTAGACCATTTTTGATCAAGGAAATACAAGTACCGCATTGAGAAATCAAACGGCACGAAGGCAGGACACAAATGATATTGGGTAACACCGCCAAAGTTAGAAAATAACGGAACTGATTGGTAACATCGCCAAAGTTAGAGAACAATGGAACAGATTGGTAACACTGCCAAAGTTAGAGAACATTGTAACACATTGGTAACACCGCAAAATTTAGAGACCATTGGAGCACATTGGTAACACCGCCAAAGTTAGAGAAAAATGGAACAAATTGGTAACACCGCCAAAGTTAGAGAACATTGGAATACATTGGTAACACCGCAAAATTTAGAGAACATTGGAATACATTGGTAACACCGCAAAATTTAGAGAACATTGGAATACATTGGTAACACCGCCAAAGTTAGGGAACATTCCGCCGCCCTCTTCTCTATATACACTATTAAGTCAGTGCAAACACTCCCCCCCCCCGCCCCTTTCTCTATATAAACTATTTAGTTAGTGCAAACACTCCCCCCGCCCCCTTCTCTATATAAACTATTTAGTTAGTGCAAACACTCCCCCGCCCCCTTCTCTATATAAACTATTTAGTTAGTGTAAACACTCACCCCGCCCCCTTCTCTATATACACTATTTAGTTAGTGTAAACACTCACCCCGCCCCCTTCTCTATATACACTATTTAGTTAGTGCAAACACTCACCCCGCCCCCTTCTCTATATACGCTATTTAGTTAGTGCAACCACTCCCCCGCCCTCCCTTCTTTATATACATTATTTAGTTAGTGCAAACACCCCTCCCCCCGCCCCCTTCTCTATATACACTATTTAGTTAGTGCAAACACTCCCCCGCCCCCCTTCTCTATATACGCTATTTAGTTAGTGCAAACACTCCCCCGCCCCCATCTCTATATACACTATTTAGTTAGTGTAAACACTCACCCCGCCCCCTTCTCTATATACACTATTTAGTTAGTGCAAACACTCACCCCGCCCCCTTCTCTATATACGCTATTTAGTTAGTGCAACCACTCCCCCGCCCTCCCTTCTCTATATACATTATTTAGTTAGTGCAAACACCCCTCCCCCCGCCCCCTTCTCTATATACACTATTTAGTTAGTGCAAACACTCCCCCGCCCCCATCTCTATATACACTATTTAGTTAGTGCAAACACTCCCCCGCCCCCCTTCTCTATATACGCTATTTAGTTAGTGCAAACACTCCCCCGCCCTCCCTTCTCTATATACGCTATTTAGTTAGTGCAAACACTCACCCCGCCCCCTTCTCTATATACACTATTTAGTTAGTGCAAACACTCACCCCGCCCCATCTCTATATACACTATTTAGTTAGTGCAAACACTCCCCCGCCCTCCCTTCTCTATATACGCTATTTAGTTAGTGCAAACACTCACCCCGCCCCCTTCTCTATATACACTATTTAGTTAGTGCAAACACTCCCCCGCCCCCTCTATATACACTATTTAGTTAGTGCAAACACTCACCCCGCCCCCTTCTCTATATAAACTATTTAGTTAGTGTAAACACTCACCCCGCCCCCTTCTCTATATACACTATTTAGTTAGTGCAAACACTCACCCCGCCCCCTTCTCTATATACACTATTTAGTTAGTGCAAACATATACTTATTTAGTTAGTGCAAACTCTCTATATACATTATTTAGTTAGTGCAAACACTCATTCTCTATATACATTATTTAGTTAGTGCAAACACTCACCCCGCCCCCTTCTATATACTATATACAAACACTCCCCCGCCCCCTTCTCTATATACACTATTTAGTTAGTGCAAACACTCACCCCGTTCTCTATATACAATTTAGTTAGTGCAAACACTCCCCCGCCCTCCCTTCTCTATATACTATTACACCCCTCCCCCCGCTATTTAGTTAGTGCAAACACTCACCCCGCCCCCTTCTCTATATACACTATTTAGTGAGTGCAAACTCTCACCGGTGCTCATTCTCTATATACATTATTTAGTTAGTGCAAACACTCACCCCGCCCCCTTCTCTATATACATTATTTAGTTAGTGCAAACACTCACCCCGCCCCCTTCTCTATATACACTATTTAGTTAGTGCAAACACTCCCCCCGCCCCCTTCTCTATATACACTATTTAGTTAGTGCAAACACTCACCCCGCCCCCTTCTCTATATACATTATTTAGTTAGTGCAAACACTCCCCCGCCCCCTTCTATATACACTATTTAGTAGTGCAAACTATTCTATATACATTATTTAGTTAGTGCAAACATATATACACTATTTAGTTAGTGCAAACACTCCCCCGCCCCTTCTCTATATACACTATTTATAGTGCAAACACTCCCCCGCCCCTTCTCTATATACACTATTTAGTTAGTGCTAACACTCACCCCGCCCCCTTCTCTATATACACTATTTAGTTAGTGCAAACACTCACCCCGCCCCCTTCTCTATATACATTATTTAGTTAGTGCAAACACACACCCCGCCCCCTTCTCTATATACACTATTTAGTCAGTGCAAATACTCCCCGCCCCCTTCTCTATATACACTTTAGAGTCAGTGCAAACAATCCCCCCAACATTCCCTAGATACACTTTCTAATCTTTAAACTAATTTCGAGCTTTGTCTTCGCTGGCCTGCGGTGATATATCAAATTTTAATTGGAATGGACTAGGAAATGTTCTACACCACGAAAGTAGGCCTTATGGATTGAGAATTAAGGGTAAAATTGAAGTAACATTATTTTATTCAAACCAAGGGCTATTTAGGACTGATCACATGAAATTGAAAAATAAAATCCGATCACTGTAGGGGTCCTTATAAGTCACCGTTGATCGATATTTCGAAGACAGTTATTATTGATTCTTTTTGATAACGCTGTTTCGAGATTCATACATGAATATTTTTCATCTATATATGCTGGCTGTGTCCACGAGATACGCCCACAACTTGAGTAACTAACGTGCTTTTGTGACGTCATTGCCTTTATGACGTCATAAGAGTCAACGTGACGTTAATTACCATTAGATTTATACTGCGTGCTGTAGATTGATAGAATCTTTCATCTATAGAGGGGTGATGAGATCATTTCAACGCAACACGAGGCTTGCGAAGGGGAACGGGTTTTTTTCTGAAACTATTAAGTATTTGCTTCTTATATATATAGCGTTATTTCAATGCTTGGAACTGACGGCAATATATTATTGATTTTTTAAGTGGAGTCAATGAACCTTGCTGGAACGTCATTACATTGTCATGACAAGGGAATCCCCTCGTCTTCCCCTAAGGTATTACCGGTCAAGGTTAAGATAATTTCTTCGTTGAGTATAAGTACAGAAGAGTTGTCTCCCTTAATAATCGCAATAAAATCTTTTTGATACATTTCGACTAGATTTTTAATTTCATGACAAAAATACAAGCACTTTCTGATGAAAGCTTTTGTATTTTATGATGAGGGGTCTGTGTTTGTTGATGAAATCATATGAGAGTTTCCTTGTTTAATGGTGAAAGCTTCTGAATTTTGTGATGAACCCTTCCGTATGCTACGTCATTCTCCTCATCGGACGTAAGTCGATATACATAGGAACTTCACTGAGGGAATCAAAATAAATTAGGTAAACAATTTCTGGATCTTTGACAAGCTTATCATGAATAGTAGTTATTTGAATGACTTATTCCAGTCAATTGGCAGATACATGAAAACGTTCAAAAAAACCTTTCAGTGTTTTTTTTTTTTTTCTCAACATTAAGACTCTAACTACACAACGCAGGTTAGGTGCAATATATACCAAGCATGTTTAACTAGGATGTACATCGCTCTTTTAAAGAGAATTTCTTACGTTTTTCTCAGTAACATCTGTCATAAGACACAAACCTCCATTACTAATAAGATTTATCAGCTTATATGTTTTATACATTCTCTTTTCTGACAGCTGTAAGGATGAAAATTCTTATCTACAAACAATGTCTACTAATCCTTCGGATTGTCACCATCTGATGTAACAGACCACGATAGGACTGTTGAGTGTACCTGTATTTAAGGTGTATTACAAATTTCATATTCTAATCATTTCTATATGTTAAATAAAAACACCCAAACAATCTACACATTCGCTCCAAGTCCCCATTTTTTATTATTATTCCAGTATAATACAACTTAACTTTATTTCAGTTAGGTGGAAATTGCCGCTCTCTCTTCTTTAAGTCGCATTCTTTGAGGTTTCACCTAAAGTACATTTGATTTGCCAATATGTCTAGACGACACTTACAACAAGGAATACAAATCATAGTTAAGAGGTAGTTCAATGCTGAATATTATATATAGTCATGTAATTGTATAATAAAATATATTATAAGAACACCAAAAACAATATGTAATCGCCAATAACGTAAAACACATCTGGTAAAGTTATTCTCGAGGTAAGATATGGACTTTTTACAATATCGCAAGTTGTAGATTATCAAAACAATACTCCATCAATTTAATAACAAAAAGTCATAAAATCTCGTATTAAATGAAAACAAAGGAGGAGACTTTTTATAAAATTAAATTAAATCCGCCATGTTTATTGCACTATTTTCAATTAGTGATGTAAAACCATTGTATAATGACGTCACAATCACAGTCAATGTACATTTCTCTAGTGTATATATATATATATATATCACATGGACGAATTCAGTGGATACAAAAGTTGATTATGTGATAAAGTAAGATATCTAACAGAGTTCAACGTATTTCTGAATACAGAGTATTGTTTAAAATTACTTCTAAGTAACATTGTATCAAGATTTACATGTATTATTGCACCTTGTTGTAAAGAAAATAGATTACACATTGTATAATTAAATAATGTGTAATTCTATAACACAAATATAATCAACACTTACTTGATTTCATATATATCACACCGGCATTAAAAAAAATATCTACAATACTAGTAACAAGTTGCAAGTTTTTTCCAAAACACACTTCAGTTGAAACTCGTTATCTCGAAATCGCTTGTGTCTGAATTCCATTTGTTTACTTAAGGACTGTGATCGGGTACTTTGCTAGATTTAGTGCTCGGACAATACAGTGCTGAGAATATTTTTTCATTATAGAGTCCATATATCTGTTCGTGATTTGTTAAATGTTGCCTTTTTCATTTTCATTCATTCACAGCAAAGTCATCTTAATATGACCTGTAGCTTCATACATCGTTTCAAAAGCAAATTTTAGTTTTATTTTATTGTCATTTTGTAAAATATATGATCTATATGTGCTTTGTAAGAAAGAGGAGTACGATAGTGTACCCGGAATAAAATGAGTATAAATGTAGTTAACTGGTTTTGTTATTACATGTTTTGTTATTTGGATGAGTTAACAGTGAAAGGAGAAAGTAGAAATCTATTTTTTGTGTTTATTTACTGTCACTTTAAACAGGTTCAATTACGCTGCTTGTAACACGATGTACAGTGCTTTCGTAGCCCTACTTTCAACGCCAGGAAACTGATATCATCAACCTTATATGGACACTTTATTTGAGTCGAAATTCGGACAAGTAGACAAATTTTCATCGAATTTCGAGATAACGAGTTTCGACCTCCCAAAAAAACACTCTTGAAAATTAATGACTTTACAGTGACCGCTGATAACGTAAAACCTACTAGGGAAAATATATCCTTACTAAGGAGGTAGCAAATGGTCTTTGTTGATATTGCAGCACCATCTCTTCTACACTTAGTGGAAGGTATTGCTGCAGATGAATAATATTGTCATACAGAAAAAACCATGGCACGATTTTAACAACAATAAAAACCATAACAATTAAAAACAATAAATTCTATAAGAGCAAAACTTTATATGTTTCAAATAAACAATACCAAGTAATCGGCAAAAACTTTTAATACTTACAAACAGAATCCTTCCCAGCCATTATCAATTGGCGTTTTTCTTCAATTCCATTCAATATTTTTCACTAAACGCCCCTAGTAATCCCACAAACCCTACAAGGTACTTTGTCACAGTTTAAGTACAAACATAATTAATTTCTGTTGGAGAGGATGAGAACTGTTTCTAACAGAAATTCCAATCCTTCATGTGATTTTCTTCATGATTTGTTATCATAATACCTTTAGTCTATCAACAACTTTTTTCCTTATGAATGTGGCATCTAGATATTTCTAAAACAGAACTAAAATATTTAACTGCCTTTCATGTAATATCGTAGAGTCATGTTTTGTTGAACAACTTTTCATGAAATTTAGATATACCCAGGTAATTTGTCACATACTTTTAGCCATCAAAAGCAAATATCATTTATATAGAAAAGCGATTTACATACCATATAATGCAATATACACTTAAACCATAAATCAAAGATAAGGCTTATCTTAATATCTTGTAGAATGTTTTGGTTGAGAAAAAATGCTTTGGATTGAGAGAGATTGTTTTAGATTTATGTGAATACACATTATAGCCGAATTTAGATACGGTTTATGAAGCTTGAACCTCCCCACCATCTTCCTCCTCACTGTTGGCTAGACTGGGTAGCGGACCAAGTTGTACAACTGCAGTCAACACAATTTCAAATACCTTGTTTCTCAGCTCTAAACTTTCCTGGTAGATTTCTACAAAGTTAATGTGTAAAAATAATTGATTACCATTCTATTTCATAAAATTAAAAATTAAAAAAATTAAAATTATCAGAGTTATTACATGAAAAAATCTCTCTGTTTGAACCAGAAGTGTTTGGTTTTACATGTACATACACATTTGTCTTTCTGGAAAATAAGGGTTTTTCTTCTTATTGATCATGACAGAAACACTACAGGAACATCATACCTTTGTAGTATTATTAGGAAATACATATCAATATAAGCTAGTGAAAAACTGCAAATGATAGAAAACATGTTGAAAACAAAAGTTGATTGCCCCAAAATTAATTTTGCTTACTATGGAGGTAAAAGTACACAGAAAAGTATGTAGATACAGGTTTACGTAAATACAAATTAAACAGATTTTAAAGGGCACCAACTCGAATTTTCATATGAATTCACAAAAGATTTATACTATAGTTCTTAAAAAATAGTGTTGTTAAACTCTAATTGTCATAATCAACGAGGACCATCCGACCTTCAGCCATTTTTATTTTTCTTGTCAGTCTCAGAGTTGAGCAGGCACTAATTGTTACCATATAAACATAAGAAATTTGAAACCGATTCATCCAAAATGTCTCAACAAATAGCAACAAAAACTTTCGTTGTAAAATACAAGATGGCCACATGTCAGCCATTTTTTTTTTTCTGATCAGTATCAAATTTGAGCTGTCGCCACCATGGAACAAAAGAACGTTCTCATGAAATATGAGGAAGATCCCTCTAGTCTACAGTATTTAAAAAAATATAGATACCACGAATTTATAAAGATGGACATGCAGGCTAATACCTGGTATTGCCAATCTGATTTTTTTTTCTGCATATATTTCAAATCTAAATCATCCCAAATCTCACGACGAATGAGAGTATGTGTGTCATTGATATTTTGGACTATTGACTGCACCTTTATCTCATATATGTGTTCAAGATTAGAGCTGATTTTTAAAAGATTTTGTCTTGTTTTTTACTTCTACATGAGAACATGGCATTTTGAGCCTGTGTTTTATCATAGGGATAAGTGAATACTTACCAGGATCCACACTGCCCCTATACTTTCTAAGGACATCCATGGTCGGCCAAGACAGAATTACGATAGTTTTCTCAATATCCATTTCCCACTTTCCACGCAGGCAATGGTTTACCTTAGAGGAGGCAACTGATACCCCGCCAATCCGCACCCTGAAATTACGAATTAAAGAATATACTACTGACTCAGCTATCTTGGCCCCCAATGTATTGAATTATGTGATAAATATGTGATTAATGAATTTAAACTTTAAAAAGTTATTATGAATTTTAAATTGGAATATCTGAATAGGTTGAGGACCTTTAGTAATATTTATCAGGATAATTGAGTTCGTCTTTTACTTTCAACAACACTTGGTCAAGATCTGGTTGGTCGTCTTGTTTTCGTTTTTACTTGTTTTATGTTGATTTCACAAACAAAATAATTTTACCTTGATGGTTTCAGGTATTCGTTAAGCAGGTACCGATATCGTGCCAAGTTTTCGTTTGTGTCCTCTACAGTTATGCCAATGTTGGACATAGAAAGAACTTGGTGATCTGGGCAGAACATAAAACAACATTTAACATATTAAGTTCTCAGTAACATAACAAGTGGTGATAGAAATCAGATATTCAGAATTTGATAACATGGCATTCCTTCTTCTATATAGTTTGTATAGATATCTAATAATCTTATTAGATGGGTCAGTTTTTTAACAAGACGGTATTTGATATGACGGAGTGAATATAGACCACTGTATGATGTTATTATTGGTTAGACACAATGCATTATTTACCTTGCTGAAACGGTTCTGATGATTCAACTAACAGAATGTCGCAACCTCCCAGCCACTTCTCCATACATATTTCCGGAGTAGTTTTGAGCCAATCTCGAGCCATGTCTGCACACTCAAATGTGAGGATGGCCAGAAGACTGGCCTTGTTCCATGTACCTCTGGTCACGGTCGTGATCTTAAGTAGAACATGACATTTCTGAATATACAGCATAAGTCTTATGGCAAGTTTTAAATTTTACTCACAATGCCAACAATGAAACTGAATTTGCATTTATCTAAACACAACTCGTTTAACTTGAAGATCTTCACTCAAATACTCAAATAGCATGAAGAAGTAAAGGCTAAATCACTCCTCATTTTAATTTTATGACATTCTCACAAATTTCAGCTCAATGCCGCTAGTGAAATCAAAAAGACGTTTCAAAATTTCAAAATGTGTTAAGATGACAGTCATGGCGGCGATATTGGACTTTGTTGACTGAACATTCCCGCAAATTACTAAGTTGAACAGACGTTGTTTAATATCTATTTTTCAAGATGATGGCCACATTGGATTTTGGGCAAACCTAAAAACATAACAACGCTTGGTGGACGTAGCACGATGATGTATGTAAATAGATATGGTCTCGGCATTTCAAAAACAAAAGGATAACATGTAGACACTTTAATGTTACTTGCCTTGTGCTGTAATGCAGACAGATACCCTTGGAACTTTTCAAGCCCAGAACTGTAATTTTTCATTGAATTGACAAACTCCTGGCGCCGAGAAGATTGAAACCTGATCAACATAAACACCTTGCCTGTGGCAGTCTCTTCTACCTCCTGAAACATAGATTCATGTCTGCATCATACGTTATGCTATAGTGTAGTTCTCCGATCCAACAAAATTTACCTCTTACACAGTACCCATAACAATATCAAAAAAATCAAATGTGATTTTGCCAATTTTTACCAAATCATTAAAACAAGAAACAAGAAAATGCATTAGCCAGTACTCACAATATTACCCTCAGCTGCCCCTTGACCAAACAGTTCTTCATAGCTAGGGAGAAGTACCTCATCATCATGTATGTTGTAACCTTCAGCTTCATCGTAAGGAGCAGGTGGAGCAGATGGCTCTGGCCGACTCTGACCTCCATTTGACGTACTCGAATCTTGAGTAGCAGATGTTGTATTCCTTTCTTGACCAGGAGTCAAAATCGATGTTTGCGATACAGTTCGGCTGTTTGTAGGTTTAGCAACACAGGCAGTAGATTTTGTCGAACCAGAAATGGTAACTGATGTTTGCACTGGAATGGGACTGTTTGTTGGTTTTGTAGCAGAGGTAGTAGATTTTATTGGACCGGAAGTGGAAGCTGATGGTTGAACTTGAGTTGGATTGTTTGATATTGCAGCAGCATTTGCTGTTTTTGTTGTTCCAGAGATAGGTGGACTGCGAACCTGTACGGCTGCACTCATCTTATTGGTTGCTTTTTTCGGTGGGGGTTTGTATGTGTAGTTTGGTACAAAGACACACATTGGTGTATAAGAAACATATTCTGGTATTGCATTGTCAGTTGACCTATTGAACTTCTCCCAGCCTCTGTTACACCTGGTGTGGGTCAGTGCATTAGAAAGGTCAATCACTGCAACAAATAAGATCAAAGCAAAATCAACAACTTTAAAATAAAAGGTCAAAACGAAGGTCACAATAAATCCAAGCAGGATATTGGTACCCACCATTGAATGATCCATGTATGGTAAACTAAAAAGACAATGATAATCTTTAACTGCCAGATCTAAGATGGCAGTCTGTCATCCATGTTGTTTTTTCTTATTAGTTCTAAAATCAAAAGAGCACAAATAAGAATAACCTACATATAAAATTTGAGACTGCTCAATTCAGCACTTTTCCAGTAAAAGGAATAACACTATAAATATCAAAATTCAATATCCCCACTTGTTGACTAGAGTTTTTCTGACAAACCACATAATCAGTAGTGTACAACTAGGGACCACGGACAACCAGGGTTTGAAACAAATCCATCAAACACATTTTACGAAAAAGTGATAAACCATAACCGTTAAAATCCAAGACGGTCATCTGTCAGGTTTTTTTTCCTGATCTTTTATGCACAACTAGGGACCACGGACAACCAGGTTTTGAAATTTGAGAACAATCCATCCAAAACATCTTACGCAAAAGTGATAAACCATAACCCTTAAAATCCAAGAAAGGGTTTTTTTCTGATCAGTTATGCACAACTAGAGACCACAATCAATCCAGTATTTCTCTAAACATAGTGATAACAAAAACCGTTTAAGGATGGATGGATTAATGGATGTATCAAGAGTTGTTTGAATATCCCAGCATCTGATGGCCCTATGGGCTAAGAAAAATCAATGAAAAGGTCACCCACCAAACAAATGCAAGGCCAAAGCAAGGTCTGCTACTTCAAAGAAAGGTCAAGGATCACCAAAGGATACACCAAGAGAAAGGTTAACCACCAGTCAATAACATCAACAGGCAGAGTCAAAATAAAAGGTCAAAGAAAAGGTCATTCATCATAAAAGAGAAAATTATAGGTTGTAGGAAGGTCAACTACTTCAATAAACGAAGTCAAAATGAGAAACCAGGAAACGAAAAGATCAACTACATGTACTATACAAGACAGTTTCAATGGAAATATATCACTCACCAGGAATGTTTGATGTAGTAGCTCTCCCTGCTGGTGTTGCTTTTTTGTAGCCCTGTGGTACAGTACCAATGGTGATGGGTAGCCAGAGTACCAGATCACCACCACTCAGGAAGGAAATGTCAATGTATACCTGAAAATATAAATATTCAAATTTATCCATTAATTATTCCGTGTCAAGCACTTGAAATTTGAAGATATTGATTGGCAAAACATTTTAACAGAAAACATACACTATCAGAGGAATACCCAATCATCCAGTGACTGACTAACTATGTGACAGTATCTCTGAATTTCCCTATCATATTATCGACAGAGACCAAATGAAAATTTAGGAGTTTGAAAGACTATGCACAAATAATACTTATGGTATATACAAAATTTAACTTATTAGGAAATAAAAATAACCGAATGTAATGTCATCTTGAGAAAATCAAGAGTAATTACTACTCAGGTAAATTCGACATAATTGATTATACCTTTGTCTTTACCTGCAGATGTTGACCATGACTTAAAATGACCTTGATATCGTTGATACTGATTTGGACACAACATATCGTTTAAATGTAACCTTGACAATTTTATTAATCAATCCTATCAACACACAGACCTTGATAAAGTACGAGACATTTAGACAGAAAGAGGCTCTTGTCCGTGTAGATGGAGGAACGGCATCTATATGTACCAGCTCGTCCTTCCAGCTCCTTGTATGTCTCTGTTAATCACAGAAAGAATATCTTAATTTCTGATCGTATTCTGAAACATTTTTCGTGGTTCATTTTAACATGCCTATATTTTAAATATATTTTCTATAGGTTTCAGTTGACTGTAATGATGAATTGGTGGTATCTGTCAATCTTTACCTAAGAAAGTAATATAAAAAATAGATATAATTGGCTTTAACAGTGGAAACAACAAAAATATGTAATGTTACATATATTAGAGGGATGAGGAAAACTACCGCAGAGCTATAGTATTTGTTATATATAACATTAATATATATATTATACAAGCCTACGGACCATAACTCATAACCCCGACTCAAAATTTGAGGTGAGTATAATGAAATATTGAAATATCTACTACAACAGGTGGGTGTTATTCTACTTTCAATGCGTCAATGAATCATCAAAATTATTGTAAAAACATAAATATCATACCATATTTGGTATAACATGTAGAATGATTTGATTAACTTTGACTGAAAGGGCACTTCACATACTCATGGAAAATTAGTCGGACAGGTTAATTCAACTTCAGAATATTTTTTTTATTTTAGCAAAAACAGGCCATACAAATTTGTTATTCGGTATTTCGTTTAGTCGAGTAATTTATTTTCCAAAACTAAAAACAGATTTGCTGAAGCTCGTGTGTTTAGTAACTTTTGAAAAAAACTGACTCGAGTGAAAGAAATGCCACAAACACTCCTTGTGTAACCTCTTTATATATCACAGCTGTCTTTATTTGATAATGAAAGTAAATAAGATGGAAGTAGTCTTATTATCATTCAAACTAGTGTCAATTTCTGACCGTCACCAATGCGCTATTGCCAATACATTTGCAATCAATAATTGTTTTTTTTATAAAGATGTCACGGCTGTCCCAACTTGACAGACGACGGGCTCTTGCAATGTTCATGAGACGTAGCACTCAGCAGCAGGCCGCTACTCACTTTCCAGTTCCCAAATTTATTCCAAGTCTATTAGTTTTACATCTCAACTCACGTCAAGATCGGATCATTTGGATTGCCTAAAAGGAATCCGTCAAAATGCACCCAAACACTATGAGAAATAGACTGCGAGAGGCAAATTTACGCCCACGTCACCAGCACATTGGTTGTCTCTGACACCTCAATTTTGGCACGTTACACGCAATGGTTGACAGCACATGTACCAACACGTTTTCCCATAGCATTGAAGGTCCATGCACTTCGATTTGCGTTATATCGAACAGAGTGTCCTGCTGTCACTTTGGTTTTCCGGAAATCTGAACACAGAAGTTAACTATTGCATTTCACATTAAGGCATATTGCTTTAAAATATCATTTTATTAAACCTTAAAGTTCAAATTGTGTTTCTTTGCCCTCTTCGTGTATATATATATATATCAATTGATATATCACATTCTGCTCAATTTACCTGTTTGATTGGATCTGACCCAGTTTTGGTGTAGATCACGGTGTCCTCTGTTTCTGTATCACCATTTGCTTTATATGATACTCTCTGCACCAAGGAGACCTTCAGCTTTCCCAAATCTTTCGAGGAAGCGTTTACAGCATCCACTTTACACAGAAAAAAAAACATCGGTGAAGATGCAAAAACAAAAACATTTTAGGTAAGATTAATTTTATCGCAACACAATAAAAGCATACAAGGATACAAAATGATTTATCTTTTTAGAAAAAAAAAAAAAGAGGTTCACTACATATTGCCATAAACACAAGTACGGCAATTTTCGTATTTTATATATATAAAGGAGCCACAACCAATCGGAAGTAGAAATAACATTTGTTGAAGGACAAAATAAAACAATTATTTATCATAGCTTTAAAGCACTAGTCATTTAGTACCATTGACTTTTCCGTTAAATACCAACCTGTTACGGGTATAGCCTCCCCAGCACAAAAGCCAGTTCTGTGTACATTCGCTGTCAAAGTTACTTCCCCAGCATCACCAAATCCGAGTATCTTTGACAAATGTGTTGATTTTTTCTTGGTAAGTGGTTTCTAAAAGACAATTATCTTTATAAGTTTTTATTATATATACCTAATTGTGTACGTGAACACATTTCTATGAATAATTATGTGATTTTGTTTGGAACTACAGGGCAAATTATAGTCATACATCAGATATCGTCCAGGAGTTTAAATTTAAAATCTGAGTCTAATTTTTTTAAGGCAAAGTAAAAAAAAATTTAAAATAAATTTTAAAGAAGATTTAATGGTCATCTGATCGAATATTTAGACAAATATCGTGGGAAACGGACACTTCCACTTCAACATTTTTCTTATTTTGGCAAAAAAAATCTGGTCTTCTTTGTTACGTATGTCACGATGCAATCTGTGACATCATTTTAAAACATAGTATCACAATAGGTAATATTACAGGTAAGTTATATGCATAAATATTACATCATCACAGTATATATTCACTGAAACACAGAAACTATGTGATAAAAAAGAGAACATAGTATAGAAGATATCTGATGTTAATCGATGTCAAGTGCTCAAAGACAGAATCGGGGTAGTGAATTCAAAAACACACACACGTCAGTGAATTGATAGACAGGTCCTCTTTCAAAAAACATTAAAATCATAAAAGACAGGATGTATGGCTAAAAGACTGTTCCAGAATAAAACTTCTCTGACATATTTGTTACAGTAATGGACTATCCAACTTCGATTACACCTTTTGAATAACAAGTCTAAGTATATTTTTCACGTGCTGATATTCCTATTCATCTCGACAAATTCTCAGTCACTTGTAAGATTGACTCAAGTCTGAAATAACAGTGAATATGTCACTAATATTACTTACAGCATAATATTGTAGATTTATATCCACATCGTCAATAAAGGTTACGCACTTATCACTGACAACATCTCGCCATGGCAATGGTCGCGTAATCTTCAGGTACAGCCAGTAACGTGTACAGCCTCGCTTTCCCTCAAAGGAGGATGGCATTTTATCAGTTGGCATTCGAAAGCTGAATGGATACTCATGTACTCCTGCTTCCAAAGTTGTTTTTTGAAACACTGCAATTTAAGTTCCATCAGATTTGAAAGCTTGGTTTAATGACTACATATCAAAAGGAAGTGAGCGCCATTATCATGATAATGAATAAATCTAACATTTGTGTTACACAATTAGAACGGTTCTGGTAACGCACAACACATCAAACACATGTCATGCACGCACAGTGTGCACATCGTACACACACACACCCTCACACCCTCACACATCATCACACACACTATACGGCATCTAACACACGACTGTGTAGTAGGATCGCACATTTTGTGCTGTTTAGGAAATATGGTTGGCTAAAATATTGAATATTGAATATAGATGAACTCTATCCTACATTTATCTATAAGTAATTTCTAAATTTATATCAACCACGATAGAATTGCACATCTGTGCAATAAAACCGCACATCATGCGATAACTTATTTCGTCTAGTTTTCCTCTCCTTTTTTTGACCTCCCCTTATTTGCCGGACTAACAGAAATGTCATTACCAGTATCACATATTTGTATAATTCTCCATCATAAAAGTGCCTGGATACTTTTACAGTACTCATTTGTAAGCTGCGATTTTGCAGCATACCAAGTACTATTGTTGTTCTAAATTGATATTGAATAACTATGAATGAAATGTTAAAAAGTAGAAAATTGACAAACTGAGTAAATGTTGCCCTATGATCCATGCCATGGTAATTATTATTGAAATTGTCATATGAAAATATCAATTAAACTGTCTAAAACTATATGTTTTCACTCGGAGAATTATTCATTAATATTTATAATGATTAAGAATTTACATTGAAACATGTTGATTTCCTAGAGCTCAATTTATCATATTTCAAACAAATGGTCAGATAATCACACAGTGGACAGAAACACATAAAGTTTCATCTTTGACCAGATGACTTTGAATCCAAATACCAAACCTGTTGACGTTGATCTTTGGTCAGTTGAAGCTTTATAATGTCATAACAAAACTTTCCTTTATGAAAATCTTCAAAAATTTATCTTGACCTTTGACATTGATCTCTTTGACGCTGTAACCTTGACATTTGGTCATTTGATTTTTGTTTAATTCTGACAAACTATTATTCACTATGTTGTTTCACTACGTCAAAAGAAAATGTTCATCAGCGAAAAAAAAGTTCCTACATTAGACCTTGACCTTTGGTCCTACGCCTGGTCCTCATCTCTGACCTTAAGTCTGTTAGATGACTTGTTTAATTCATATCAACTTTGCTTCACAATGTCAATGAAAAGTTCATAGGAGAAAAGATGTAATATTCCTTGACCTTTGAACCCAAAAACCTTGACATTTGATCTTGATTTTTGCCCTCAGTGTGTATTTTTGTGAATTAGAATTTTTTACAAAATTTCGAGTACATCGCTCACTAAATACTGTGTTATCGCACAGGAACTTAATAATTCCTGTATTACAGAACCTTATTTAAGTTATCCCTGCAATTTGATGATGTCCACGTGTCCATTTTCTTGACTTATCAATTCAGCTAACGGTGTGGACAGGCCTATAAAAGTCAGAATCGTCATGCTAACAAATGAATACTTGAACATTCTTACCTACTGCTTTCTTCTGGTTTGTGTACTTTTCTCGGGAGATAAATTTTAAGTCGGGTGCCCTCGCCTCGACGCTGCTTTCTGTCCACTTGACGTATGTTTCTCCATTCAAACTGACAGCGACGTCATTTACTGTAACGCGCTCAATTACATGCACGCGCCATACTCCCTTCACCTCCTCCCCAGAGCGATAAACTTCCTTACCGCCATCCGTCTGTATAGTTATGTCCCCAATTTTACCCATCACTCGCGATCGTAAATCAGTTTTGTCAATACATTGAGTATCCGAGCTAAGCTTGACCGACGCTTGATATACTCCCCTTTATTTACATAGTGATAACCTGAGTTATTTAACCTACTTTCGGTTTGCGTGCAAAATATATATACAACCACTGATCGGGGCACGGAGTCTGTCTGTAAATATTGCGACATACCACTATTTGTAATAAGGAAAGGACGAAAAGCACGTGGTAATGATGGTAGGATGTCACTATTGACATTGATTAGATAAAACCAATAAGTAATGTGATATTTAATCAGATGTTTATGCATATTACCTGAATAATTGATTTCACCAAACTTTATTAACAAACATGTTACTATGACACTGATGAAACATTACCACAGTCTTACCATTATCAATAGTTCAGTTCACTTTCTAATACAGTATTTTTTTAACCTTTTCACCAAACTCCAAAAAAATAAACAAAAGGCTCAAGGGCCTTAACAGTCACCTGAATCACAATGCTTCTTGTAACATGACATTGCATTGATCATTTTAAGAAACGTAACATAACTTTTTAATTATAGTGTACACATAAAGCAAATGTAAATTGTGTATACCTTAACTGCTGCCCTATGCTAAAGCTTCTGAATTTTTGAAATTTCAGTCAATTTGACCAATTTTTTGCCCTGCCCAACAGCCCCTGGGGGTTAGTCAAGGTCAATACGTGCATCTCATCAAACAGTCAGCTTATGCTTATAATCCTATACAGGTTTGAACATTTCCAATAGAAAATAAACAAATAATGTTCAAAAATATAATTTTCAAATATAAACTGTCATGGGGGAAATGTGAGACCATGGGGTCCTGAAATTTTTATTTTGGCAGGGCATCTGAAGGCCTTTCTATCCATGGAGAGTATTTGATTCTACCATACCTGGGATTTGAGAAGATTTTTCAAGTTTCAATCATTTTGACCCTTTTTGGCTCCACCCCTCAAGCTTCTGGGGTTCAGGACAATACAATTTACACTTTTGGTGTGCCTTTAGACATGGAAGGTTTTTGTAAGATTTCATTGAAATCAGTTTAGTTTTCCAGAAGAAGTAAAAAATAATGAAAGTTTATTGCACATGACGCTGCACAAAAAGGGATCGCAATAGGTCACCCTGAGACAAAGTCTCGGCTAACATAATAACTGATTAATATCCAAGAATTGTCCTCATGATCCCACATCAGGTTTCAAGTAGTAATCTATTTATCTAGCAGGCTATATCATCATCATGTCTATTGATTTCTAAATATGGTTTATCCACCTGGTATACAAAATCCTTGGAATCAAAACTTTTATCAGATGATAATACAGATTCTTTTGTACAGAAGATGCTATACACTATAAAAGTTCATCAACTTTAATAAAGCTTCAAAGTAAATTGCTTTCCTTTGAATCATTATAATAATGATTAAAATGCAGAATCATTTATGTGAAAATTAGGTATTTATCCAAACTATTCCCCTTTTCAGAAAACTTTTCAATTTTCCAGATAAATGCAGACTACTTTCCAGATAAATACAGATTAAAAACAAAACCAAGAGAGTTTTAGTATATTAGTTTTATTGCATATATAATTATATATCACTGTAAAAACTTTTTATAACATCAATAATAAATGATAGATCATAAAAGTTGATCTGACCTTACCAAATGAAACACTGTTCCCAAAACAAGACTTTTTTCATTGTTCATTACATAAAGGGTAAAGCCTTAAATCTGTTCTCTTGTTCTCTTCATACTTGACATCAAAATTAGACTTGTGCCTATAATCAAACATTGAAAAATATAAAGAGGGATAGTGAGAAGATTGTTTTTTTTCTTTTTTTTCTTTTTTTTCAACATTGTTTTCAAAATTACAACACCATTTTCAATATGGCAAGACCAACATAAATAAATGGCAGACATTATGAAGCAAAGACGTGATTGCAATTAGCAAAATAAAAACGTTTCTGTAGAAAAATAGATCATGTTGACAAATTCCACAAATAAAAGTGAATAATTGTCAAGGTGCTTAGTGGCAGGACAATATTAAAGGCACAAATGGCTGAATTCAAAGATGCTTTGTCTGTATTGACGGTATGAGTACACACATCTATACAGAGGTGTAAATCTGTAACCTCTGTTAGACAATATTTACATTGCGACAAATTCAATTTCAATTGTATGTAGTCTGATAATATTGACTACAAAACAAAACTCTTTTTCGTATTCATCATGGAACAAACACAACCATTATGGTTATAAAGTAAGCTGTTGTGTAGATGAACATAGCTGTGTAGGTTTCTGTCTGTATGTCTGAGAGTATTTACATCACTTAGACAAACAGAAGGGACCAACTTAAAAGGCGTGTATCTAGGAAAGACAGCTGCAGTTTCTGCTAAAAAACCTAAATCTTCAAATCATTGTAAGAAGCATTTTGTACTTGAGAACACCAAAAATAAGCAAGCAGATGAAGTTACTTGACCAAACAACATATACTATAGCAACATCACTTTTAATACATCATAATATCAGCATTAGCTCTTAGTTGCAAAACATCATTTCTACTTCTGCCAGATTTCCAACTCAATCTCAAATTGATAGAGCAAAAAAAATTTACTTGAGAAACTAACAGAGAAACATTTAAAGATTCAACAATTAGTATGGATAACTGATTTAATGTACATATATTAATTCTAATATTCATCTGAATTTCTTACTTTAATTTGAATGATTTAAGTACATTTAATATGTAAAGAAATGAAATGATTCCTTGATGTATATATATAAAATGTATATACATGTAAATGTATATGTATTGGTAATGGTCCATTCTATGTACAGTAAAGATCTATTATGATTAAAAAAAAAATGAAAGAAAAACTGACAATTTGTACCGATTATTGATGCTATTTTTAGACATGAAAATGTACAAAGAACTGATAAAAACACCACAGAACATTCAATCCGAAAGGACTGCTTGATTTTTTTTATGACATTCTTAAATACTATTAACTGACAGATATACAAAATTGTATACCTTACATTCTGTGATTGAAGCAAAAATTAAATAGCAATCTTTTAATCACATTACCTGTACCAGATAGCTTCAAACAAGGTCTTTATCATGGGATTTAATAGTATGTATACATAGGTATTTTGATGAACACACAAGATTTTAGGCACCCTGATAAATGTTGATAAAAAAAATCCTCAATTTTGGATATCATCTACCATCACTATAGACAAAGATGTATGAACAAGCCCTATATGTAATAGCTGAGGACCACTAACTATCCACGAATGTCAAATTTACCAAGTAAATAAAAACTTCTTTCAAGGTGTATGCTGCAATTAACTATATTTCCACAGAATGTATATATATATATACAAGTGTACAATTAGTTTACCGGGAGGTGGTGCTCCCAAGTCCTTTATCGCATGGACATATTTACATATATATAAAATCACAACCTATAAATTAGTCACATAAAAACAGTCGATGCCCTTATTTCATAACAATAAAATCCAAAATGCACGGTACATGAATATTCCAGCACATACGTTCATCTCTTTAAAAATCTGTATAAAAATAAGAACTTCATAACTGCAATAATATTAAGTCCTGTTAGATAACTTCATATCGTTCAAGCGTTACAAAGTCCAGCTTTCCTCTCACTTTATTTCAACGTTGACTAAAAGAGTGTTATGATTCTTTAAGTAATGAAATTGTTTACATGCCAAAGAATTTCTGCGATGCAATCCAAAAGTATCCTGCCTTCCTTACACTGAATAACATTACTTAAAACTATATGTACATTGTCTTGTCATTGGAGAACACAGTAGTAGTTGTCATAATCCAATGAATGAAAGAATGCAATGTCCTAATCAAAACAAGTTACCATATTTGATAAAGATTATATAAACTGACCAATATCAACCAAGCATTACCCTGTATTCAATTAAATCAGTCTTCTTTGTAAAATACATCATTTTGCCATAGTAAAATAAATACAAATTTTGTATGTTTTCCATGTGCACTTGCATAGTTTGTCATACCTAAAATTATACAGTTTATTCTAGATTTACATTGAGTATCAAATGAACTCTTTGTACACACTCTTTTTAAGATATCACTCAGTGTTTGCAGCATTTAGAAGTAGATTGTGTACAAGTGGCATCATAAAGTTACATGTACTCAACAATCTATAATCTACTATTTTCCAAAAGTAAGTCCATGCCTGGTAATATACCCATTCATATTTACTGCAGTTAGGTGACTTTAAACAAACAAGTATTATTTCAATGGTCTGTAATTAGCAAATCCTGTGATTTTGAGTCAGATGCAATATGATGCTTATTATAATTTTAAGGAAATGTACCAATCTGAGTCAACATGTAAATATTTTCCATGGAAAATGGAGAAATAATCTACAATATACTATAATAATCTACATGTAGTACCATACTTAGAATTGGGGATTAGAAGGGAGAAATACCCCTTACAAACTGAATTTTTCAATTATCTTAAATCAGGAAGATAGAATAAATTAATAAAGAAAACCTCTTAAAGAGGAAGAACAACAGGAATACAATTGATATAATCTAAGTCCTACATTAAAATCAATTAACATATAAAACAAAAGATAATGCTGATAATTAATAAAACAGTGGCTGTAGACTGAAATATTTTTGAAGTGGCCCGTCTCTCTTGTCTCAACTGTTGATTACTTTCCTAAGGTAAAGATCTATGGTTGCAAACACAATATGCTAAATCCAAGCATGTGCATCATCAGAGCAGAATGGCTCTCCTAAAGCCATAATGATCTCTTAAGGTATTTTCTGCATCTACCATACTATGTTACAGATATGTAAAAAAACACAACATCACGATATACCTTATCTGTTGTTATAATCATTTCAGCTCTTTCATTCCATGACACAACTTATTAAAATAATAATACATGTATAATACATATTAACTTATAAAGCGAAACTTTCACAACGTTGTATGTATACTGTAACTTCATCCCTACTTCATTCACAGATCCAATTGTGCCCCTTTGCATGTATCTAAGCTGAAGGTAGAAACTGGGCAAAATCAAGTTACAATTTATGAGAAAATTGCAACCACCACAGCAAGCATATCTGAACAAAATTTTGGACACATTTATTTTTGTCAAGGAAAGGACTGTCCAACAATATCCAAATCTATGAAACTATTAAAATCAATGTGAAAATGGAAAAAAAAAACAGTGTACAATACCACCAGGAATGTATAGAGAACGGAATAATGTTAGCTAGAAAGTGTATAGTTTTTTTACAATGAATACATAGTTGTGTATATTGGATATGAATATGTAAATATAATTAAGCAATTTCATTAGTGATTTACGCATCACACAAATGATTTGTCACAGTGGTAAGAGGTCAGTGTGAATTTTCAAGGGGAATAACTCCACTTAACTTAAGAGGCCACCTATTGATAAAACATTAATTCTATATATAACATTTCACATTAAATTGTATGACTTACCCTCTATTCTCATCAAAAAGATATGTTACAATTAATATTTGAAGTTTCCATAATTTATTATAGCAATACTAGATCTCTATTATTTTTTAATAAAATCTTTTCACTCAATCAAAGACTGAATGGTTCCAGATAGACAACTAGAAGATGATAATTCTCCACCATCTCGAGTACACTATCCAGGGAAAGACACATAAGAAACTGGAATACCATGTTTGCTTTTATGGCCAAATTGATTGCTCTGATATTCTTCTATCTGTAAATCAAATGCTAATTCAAGGCTAATGTGGATAACTACCGCAACTAGCAATTTTAATATGTCAGATGTTTCATCACCAAATTTTAATTACAATATTTCAAGACTTCAATATTCTTTTGTACCTGATCTGAGTGTCAGAAACTGTGATTGGCAAATCCAGATAAATTTAAAATTTAACCTAATTTTCACTCAGAAATTAAAATTATCAGATGTTTGTGTCTGTCAAATCATGCCAGATTTCCAGAGCCTTGCATGGCCACTGCTAATAATTATTTACATGATTGGTATAAAACATACATGCTGGCATAAATTAAAATATGTCACCTGTAAACGTATACATAATGCTCTTAATATATACTCCTAGGCAGAATTTGGGCACAAATAACATTACGTCACTAATAGAAGCCATTGCCAAAATATTACTTCTGTTTTTTTTAATCCTGAAAAAAACTTCTTAATTTATATTCCACAAATATCCACCATAGTATTATGGTCTGACACAAGTGCTTATAACAAATTCTCTAACCACAGCACCTATCGCAGAAAAAGCAAACAATTTTCAAAAACATCACCTTTTCCAGTAAAACGTGTTATACAATAAAATATGTGTTTCCCTTATCTTTAGTCATGACAAGACAATATGTGCTATCAAATGTACCCCACACCTCCAGGCGAATAGAATATCTACATAATTGTAAAATTAGGTGGGGAAGCGGTCCACATGACCAATTCCTCAAAGAAAGCTGCTACAGTAAATCTACTGTGCCAGAGAAATTGCGTTGCATTCTTTACAGTTAATTAAAATGCCTACATGTTTGTATACACATCGCATATTACTTAAAACAGATCATAGTTCTAAAAGAATCAAAAGAAGACTTCTTTTACCGAAATTGGGACTAAAAATAGGTCTTGTAGTGCCACAATGTCAAATGAACTTAAAAAGCCTAAGAGAGCAGTAAAATCTAACTACAACATGATTAAACCAAGACACTGCAGATTAATTACATTGCTGAGTACAAAGCTAATTTTACATATAAAACATTTTGTATATGATCAGATACAATTTGCATTATCAAACATTGTCCTATAAGGTGACAACAGCGCTATCTTTACTCTCTGTATCAAGGCTGGCATTGCTGTGATGACTGAGGTTGTGGTCACTTTCTCTGCCAAAATGGTCACTTTGGTGATTCAGATGATCTTCAACCTCATCATCTTCATCCTCTTGCTCATGGATCAATGGAATGTCACTGTCAAATGACTTGGAGGAATGGTGCGAACTTTGTGACTTTTGCGAATTCATGGACATTTGAGAGGTACGGACTGATGACCCGCGCATTGGTGCAAGGGTCATGCGCTGGTTGACTGGCTTAACTGTGATGATGAGGTTGGAGCTATTAGCCACCATCATGTCTGTAACTTGGTCAAGGGTCTTCCCCGCAACCTCAATACCATTTACTTCCAGCACCTCATCGTTCACAGCCAAAAGACCTGTACTTTCTGCCAGCCCACCAGGCACAAGTCTTGATATAAATATGCCAGGCACTTTCTCTAGTCCATGAGGTGTAACACGCATACTTGTGCCGTCACGGATATAAAATCCCAGAGGCTTGTCTGAGCCATTCTTCATAAGCTTGACACGCCGATGAGTTTCTGGAACAACATCAACATCAATGATTGCAGACACCCTTCGGAAGTCTTCAGGCATGCTGATATTGATACGAGGCTTGGGGGGAGCCTCAGCACTCATCAGCTTGCTGATTGGATTGCGCCGTTTCACACCTAATGTTCCATAACCATTGGCTTCACCATAACTTTCTCCTGCAAAGCAAAATAACATTAAGAAAATATGTAAGTTTGCAAAAGTGAAAATCTGCACTTGCAGTATGATATTAGGTATGCAATAGATACTTAAACTCCTGTTTTTTTTAGACCTACTGTACCAGGTATCAGAAATTGAGCTACAGTTCAACTTTTACAGAGATGCAATGCGTTGAACTTTCCCCAAACTAATCCTTCTCAAAACAAATCACCTCATAAAATTGAACAAATTAAAAGAGCAATTTATGGAATGGCATTCTTTTGATTATAATATTTAAAGCTTCCCTATACCGACCCCTGTCAATTCTGAATTATGATAAAAATTTGTGTCTGAAATAATTCAAATATACCAAATATTTTGACAGCGAGTTGTCATTGATAGGAATCAATTTACAGGTATTTTTATTCAGCCCTTGTGCTTAATTTATCTGAAATATACATGATTTTACCTCAAAATAAAACTGCTTCTTTTTTATTTTTGTGGGTGGTGAAATCACAAACCTATAATTTTCTAAAATATTGTTGTCTTCCTTCTTCAATCAGACAATATATCATGATGCTGATATGATAACAGCTCTACTAACCAGGGTAAATGGCTGACTATCACACTTGCTCAGACTTTTTCGGAAAGAAAATACTCCAAGTCATAATCAATAATAGTGAGGTTAAACAACCTTAAGTTTATGTGTACATAACAGCACCTGAAGGGGAATCTGAAGAATTTTGTGCATATGACATTGATTTATGTTGTAATGCATCTGCTACACATATATGGCATGAGATTACTAGTAAGTACAAACTTGAAGACAAGTGTATTTGTGTGATTAATTTTCTCAATAAAATTTTCTGTAAATGATGTATTTTCGCACCTATATTTCCCAACATAATATATATACAAAATTATGTTTTTCCTAGTTCAATATGACCATAAAGAGAAATTGAGTGTTAAAATCAGATGCTTAAAGCTGTAAACAAATACAGGTACCTATATCAGTGATGGGCTTGTATAGTATACTGTAACTTTAATTTAAAGGGGACAGGGAGGCTTGTCTAATATACTATAATTACTGTGGACATAAATTGTATAAAAATAGTCATTTTGTTTGTCAAGATAATATGACAATAGCCAACTGGTGCATAGCATACATGTATTATTTAACAAATAAAGCTAACATATACATGTACCTGAAGCCCACTCGCACACATATGATTGCTTAATCTCTCTTATCTATGAACTAATGTTTCCTGAAAATTTTCATATCTGATGCAGTAAACATGCATTCACCTCCTTCACCTAAACCATGACTTACAAAATAGCTTCCCTCTGTGACTGCTATAATGAAGAAGAAATGTTTACCTTTGCGCTGAATCATGACTCGCAGAAGGGGTTTGGCCATAGTCACAGCCCTGTAAAAGTTGTCATCATTGTTGATTGGAAGAAGATCTCCATTGCTGTCAGTGTACGTTACAACAAAGGGAATGTCCTGAAGGCTGTGGATTTTACCAAGGGTTGCCTCAAATTGGGTAAACTCACACTTCTTGGAATTGTCAATCGCAAACCTTCGGAACTCTGCATCAAACTAGAAGAATCAAAGTTACAATATGATTGATTTGTTGAAGATACTCTCAGAATATTTCAAACGCGAGAAATTGAGTGTAGCAAAATGGCAACAGTTTCATCTCAAATGATATGCCTTCAAATCACCAGTCACTATAGTATTGCGAGAAAAGTGAACAACATTTTAGGAAAAAGATAACATTTTGCATTGGGAAAGAGATTCAGAATTAATAATTTTTCATATAAACTTCAATTCATTTCCTTAAACATTCCTTATTGGTTAAATGTTGATTACTAATATACAGGTACAGTTGTCTTACAATAAACCCAATGGTTGATACATCAGATTCAAGGGTGGGCTTTCCGATATACTTTTTAACTATAAGATAATTAAGATATAGTGATCTTGACTCTAGAATACAAAATATATTCGCCTACATCATGACTCATGTATTGGAATTTAGCAGTAAAGGCTTACGTGACAAGCAGTTAACCTGACAGTTTGCTGTGGTGATTGACCGAAAATGTAACAGGTGTGATCCTGAATATACATACTTAGCTTGCACTTTGTGGGTACTCATGTGGAACAAACCGAAAAAAATACCTTAATTGGGAACAATCTAAACCTCATATTCAGCGTTCAAATAAAGAATGATTAAACAAGTAACAAATTAACATAGAAAATCTAATGTCACAGACGATCGGTTGTGATTTTATCGACAAATTGCCATTAGAGCCGACTTCGCAGAAGCAGATATTCATTATATTACAATTGCTCCATATGCCTTACTAATTGTGTGAGAAAAGAAACGATTCAATCATATAAACAATATGGTTTTCAATTAATACTTATTGTAAATTGATGGTTTAATCAGTAATGTAAACAAATGGAAGTGAGCTAAAAATAGATCCCAGGAAGTGGGTCTCAACGACACACCTTGTGTAGCTTTAACGGAGTTACCTGTATATTCAACTAAGTTCATATGCATTGTTCTGTCATACCTTGCTTTTCACTTCCACCATTCCGTTCTGCTGCCTATGTGGCATCCGTGCAGTCCTCGACATAGTGAAGTTTAAGCCCCAAAAGGGCAATTTCTGAAGCAGATTCCAACAACAATATTTTTTTATGTTTGAGTAAGCGCTTTCCGGTGACGTCAGAACCTATTGGTGAACTATCCTTGAAACATTGCTATTTCGAAATATATATATAACTCTGGCTAATCAAATAATTAAAGGTTCGTTAAAAATATTTTTCATTAGAGATAGATGACTTGCTGAAAAAGAAAATACGTTCGAAATATTATGCATTTAACCCGAAACATTTGTTGAAGAGTATTATTTGCACAAGATGGCGGGAAAGATCCAAAAAGAGTTGTGATGGATTCAAGATGTCTCGATCGAAATTTGGTTCACATAACTGTTCTTTAAAACAACACCCATGGATTGTCAATTGTATTTGCAGTCCAACACGAAAACAGAAAAGTCAAACCATTGACGTAATTAGAGTACGTGTCCCGATACTCACGACTTTAGTTACAAGGTGGTAAGGGATTAGAAAGGGTCCGAACGGTACCACTAAATGCCAAAGTCTTTCTCATATTCACCCAGATCTTGCACACATGCCAAAATGTTTCCGTTCGTGATTGAGAAAGTATTTATTTGAGCTAAATGCAAATATGAATTCGAAAAAAGCTCCCAAAATAAAGAAAACAGACTCGACACACGAAAAAAACTACTTCAAGTTAAATTGATTTCCTGTCCAGGATTAGACAAATACTCTTCACCGGACTCAAAAAAACAACATATAAAGTATGTATTTGATGACATATTCTAAAACCAAATGATGTGATGCCAGGAATAACTTGCATATTTAAAAGAATTCAAATTATTTTCAAAATTTACTGCTTTTGTATTGTAAGTAAATACCCCTATTTGGTCATATCTATTTACTGGTATCATGTTATGATCAATGGTAGACCTGGTCAAGATGATTACTTTATGATTGAAGCACACAAACATGTATATGTCTATGAGTATTTTATAAAGTGAAAAGGTATCGGTTTGATTGCTGCAGTTTTCTGGTTGGGGTTATTGATGTAGATATACAACGAAGCGTCAGTCGACAACTGATTATTATCCATATACACTTAATTGTAATGTAGTCATTGAAAATGTGAAGTTGAGCACAAAATAATTATTGATTGTTCTTGCAGGATATAGAGATACTGGGTGATGGCAGTGTGGTGCGAGACGTTGCAGACAGAGAGGTTATCATTAGAGCTGTCTTCTCAGCAGATGCTGTGCAGAAATTTAGACAGGAGTGAGTTAATGTTGCATTAGTATGTCTAAGGCAATATTTGTAACTTTATTCTAAACTTTTAAAATGCAATATGAAGATATCCAACATTTGAGTTTTGCCTTCTTCAAATCAGAAATCATGTGATATTTCATGAGGTTGTGGCAGGCACAACAAATCTTTATTAACTTATAAAAAAGTCAGTTATTAATAATTGTTTGAAGTATCTTTATTCACATTAGACTTATTGGATCAGGTATGGCATCATGTTTGTAAGAGAAAAGAAGAAAAGACAAATTCTAGTATTGAAACTTTCAATTTTGTTGGTTGGCTGTGTTTCTCCTTGTTGCTATGCAGAGTCCTTTTGAGGTGCGGTCTTGTGTAGTTTGTGGCTACATTACTGAACATCATCATTGTGTGGGAGGTCTGTTTAATGTTAACCAGAGCTATAGTAATTCAAATAAAATATTGACGCAACCACAACAGCACAGGGATTGCCTGTAATATCAGCTTTCTGAGGAATATGAACCACTGGAGGAGAGATTAAATATCACCTGATGTTGCAAAGTCTGATGCTGTACAATTTTCCACTCAAGATAAATGATTACGGCTTAGCATTACAGATGCATGTATGGTATTTGTTGACATATGTTACTGTTCATCTTGTTTTGATAACAAATCTTGAGAATGGTTAAACACCTCGTAGTTATTCATATTTATACCAACTCGTGTGTTGCAGACTGGAGGATTCCAACAGCTGCCCTGTAGAATGGAACCAGGCTTTACTGCTGGTCTGCAAGTACCACACAGAATTTCGACCTCACAAAAATCTGGTATTTATTTCCATGAAAATGTCATCAATATATTTTCCTGCAAAACTGCTTAGATTTTAAGCCAGATCTGAAATTCATGATGACCATGAGTGAATATTTCTTTAATATGAAATTGAATCACTTCTTTATAATCTGATGACAGTTGACCATGTAAAGCATATCCGCTTCTATTAGATTCTTATTGATCAATATTCTGTTGGAACAGATAATCAGAAATGACTATAAAATGCTGGATAACACTGGTATTCCCAATAGGGTAATGCTGATGGTAATTGTTTCCACAGGCCAAGTGTGAATTTGTTCTCCATATTGACAACTTCAGACTCTGGGATCTGCAGGAAGGCTTCCAAAGAAAACACAGACTCATCCACTGGTACTATATCCCTCCATAAATTACTTTCTTACAGAAAACACATCTGTTCATCCAACAAACTAATGCACTACTTTTCACCACAGAACTGTACTACACTTTTTTATTGTTGGAAAATTAACGAGACAGAATTACCATTTTACACCGGTTAAGGGTTCTTTATACTGAGCTGTGGACCTAATTCCTGACAGTTCTGAAAGATATTGCATTTGAAATATTAAGCCCCTTAAAAAACCAGATAACAGGATCAGGTGTGCTTACTTGGGAAAATACAGAATTGATGTTAATATTTGGCTTGTCGATTTTAGCTAAACAATTGATCATGACTGAAATATATATAAAATAGATGCTTGTTGTAGGACACCAACAATCTCTTATCTGTTCTTTAAAGACTCTGAACTATAGTAGGCTTTGTTTCCCCTTAAATTAAAATGTAGTTTAATAAAAACACTATCTTTACCTTGACACCAGCAGCTTTTTTTTTTCTTTTTTTCCTGGTATATTTCATTGCTAACATATTGCATTGTGGGAAAAATAATTCATATTTACTTGGATGAATGATTATGTGAGTTTGGCTCAGTGTTAATGTAATATCAACAGCTTTGTTCATTTATGTATAGCTAATGGATTGAGAGGTAGTTGATGAGCTTGTTTTCACTAGAATATGAAGCACTTTCTTTACACATATCTGTTATTTTGGCTGAGGAGCCAGATTTGGTATAAGTGATATCCCTGTAAATACACAGACATTTCTCTTATTTGCAGGTTATATCAGTTTGTACCTGTCTAGTTATGGAACCAAAATTTTAAATTGTCATAATAAGTGTTTTATTGATTTCAAAAAATGATGCTGTGGATTTGAAGACATTTTGACAGCAAATGATTAACTGCTATCCATATATTCTGTAACATCAACTAATTTTAGTACAAATGACGACCTCTTGAAATCTTTATTCTGTTTTATAATCACATTAAGCACGACTAAAAGGGTTACTAATTGTGTCTATCATTTGTCCATAGTTACCCTTAAGTCTTATTATCATCACAATTGTTCACAGACAAAACATTTTTATTGCAGTGATCAAGATGCAAGAATACAAAGGAAAATGAAAGACCTATGGGAAGAAAAGCAGTGAGTTGTCCTCTCTAGCGTAAAATGATAGAGCAGGGAAGGAAACCAGAAAGTTGTCCTTGCTAGTGATGTTCATGCAGGTTGATGATTCCTGCACAAAAAAAAATGGTTCTTTGAGAGCTGACATTTTGCTTTTGGTGCATGGTGTGGGGTCTACCATCCATCAGACATCATCTATCAACTTCTTCTAAAAATCACTACTAGTCTTGAATGACTGAGCAGATTTCGACCAACTTTGGTCAAAAGCATCCTTGAGAGAAATGGAACATATTTAATATAAATGATGTGTCCTGATCCCCCAGGGCCTGAGGGGCAGAGCCCAAAAGGGGAGTTTCAGAAGTTCTATAAAATCCTGCTCCTCCTGTAGGAATGATTAGATTTTGCCCAAATTTGGTGTGAAGCACTTTGGGTAAAAGGGACCCAATCCTGGAAATTGGCTATATCTTTGAAATAGTCAAGATCTCCTCTCCACAACCATATATAGCATTGTTGGGAATAGAGAGTTAAACAAAACTGTGATGTAAGAATTTGCCCTGGAGTCTGACCCCACCTGAAGAGACTAAGTTTTAGTGTTACATCTTTGAAGCAGTAGAGCAGTAATCAAAAGAAGGAAACGGTCGGGAGATAAGAATTTACCCATTGGTCTTACCAAAGGGGATAAGTGACTGAGCTGTAATTTGAAAATATTTGAAATACCTAACCTTTAGGCATGTATACCATTGCTAGGCTTTAAAATCCAGGTGAGTAATGGCCACTTGTCCCACTTTGTGAGACTTTCCTGCATTTAATGTATTTTACCTCAAATAATCTTCATCCCCTGGTGAAAACCATATTGATCAGAGGTAGGGAGGACTTAGTTGCAAGCACTCCCCTTGAACTCTAATGTCTACTATCTTGGATAGATTGTCGTACCTTACTTTGACCAGAGATACTGGTGACTTTGACCAGTGAGATATCTCCGTTTGTTGACAATGTTATGAAACAATAGCCAGGAAAACAGAGATAATATTTAATATTTTTAACCCTTAGACTACCTCGTATGGAGATTTATGATAGGATAAGATTTGGCCCCACCTATGACCTCATTACAACTGATATGTCAGTAATTTCCCGGACTCGTACCTTACTTTTTTGATATATCTTTCAATTTTGGACTTTCCTTTATCTGTGAGGTGTGACTTTAGACCCAACTCTAACTGGTACATTTTTTTGGTTTTCTCTGATTTATTGTTTTTATTTGGATACCAGAAAAAGTACCAATTTTCTTCACCTTTTCAGAATTGAATGGCAAAGAGAAGAAGTGCTGAGAAATACCATGCCAATAACATCAGATTTATCACAACAAAATGAATCAATGTCTAGTATTTCTGTTACACAACTTCTGGAGGAAATCGCAAAAGATGTCAATGATACACCAAAAGATGTGACTCCAAAGAAAAAAACCAAGAAAAGGACTATGGAGGGATCAAAAAACATGGCAACCGGACAAAGCACAAAAAGGGTTACAGACAGTTTGCATATACAAGATGAAAAAGTTTGGCAGGGTAAGAAGAAAGACTTGGCTGAAATGGATGAAGATACAGTAATGCATGGAAGTCGGGAGAAAACGACGAGAAAGACAACATGGAAACGTAAGGTCTTAAGTGTTTTGATTGCCATATGGCGTTTATATGGTACAGATTCAAGTGCAAAAGAAAACAAAAGATGAATTTGATAAAGCTATTGTTTTAGTTCATCTAAATGGCAAGTTAGCTTATTCCATGAGGTGTTATCCATCAATAAGTCCAGCCTGTATTTGACATTAGGCTCCTTTGAGTAAACCCCATCAAAATTTGCAGAAAGGAGTGACCATGACCCATATTCAAGCTCACAGAAATCATAGGCCAAACCCATTAAACAACTTCTGCTAATTAACTACAAGGTCTAGAATAATGATGTTAGCTGACAGGTTCCTGCAATGAAGCCCAACAAAATTTCTGAAAAGAATTATCCTTGACCCATTTTCAAGGACACAGGTGTCAAATAAGTTAAAACCTTCAAAACAATTTCTTCTGATCAACTGCAATAAAATACTTTGATGATGATGTGGTAGGTTGGTAGGATGATGCCAAATGAAGTTTGCAAAAAATAAATGATCCATATTAAAGGCCACAACATTCAAATGATGGCCTGATTAACAAATCTGTAAAAGTCTACATCATGGTTAGATCATGATATATGGTTTGTAGTCACCTAGGATGGAGCCTAACAAAGTTTTCAGAAAGAGATGTTCATGATTCATATACAAGGCAACAATGAGTTCTGGGTGAGCAACGCTGGCTCAGTGGGCCTCTTGTTTTACAATAAATACAGATGTGTTGCAGGGGTGATTTTCTTTTTAAGATATTTAAATGGGAAGAAAATATGATTTGATTCATGCCCTTGTATAAAGATTTTAAACTTCCTCAAACTTAAGTGGAATTAACTATGCTATTTCTATGCGTTTTCAGAGATGGTATACAACAAAGAACTGTCCATTACCGAGGATTTGAGAAGACCATTTATAGTTAGAGATTTCTTGATACCAGAACATGAGCAGGTTATTTTACAGGATATTGCAGGTGAGCGTGTTGTCTTTACAAAGTCATTCCTAAACTCTGTAGTCAGCTGTTGGATATACACAAATTATAGATTTAGCCTGTGTATTTGGTTGTTTTGTTGAAGCTATTTACCAATCATGTGTTGATTTTGAGTTCAAATTTGATCTTAGTTTTTGTACCAGATACATAGTAAGCAAATGTCACCAAATCTAAAATCTCTTGGAATGTTTAGAGAAAAGAAGTTGATAAGCGGAATTGTCAGCTAACATCAGTTCTTGTTATATTAAACCACAAGTTGTTATTTTTATGTGTTTCGAATTTTCATAATTTTCCGCAATTATATTTCAACTGCAAAATACAGTTCTTGTGAAAATTGAGTCCCTTATAGATAACATATTTACCTGATCAATGGATTTCATGCTCCATCATTGCACTGATTCTTGGAGCCATGCAAGTGAAGCAAGGACTTTGAAAATTTCTCAAATTGTTTTTTTTTTTAATTCAGATATCATTTCAAAAGGTGTTTTTTTACTGACTTTTGGAAGTAGGAATTTGCCAGGCAATATTGAACTCTAAAGTCTGTTTTTAATGCTTAATTGTTTTTGCACATCCAAAGGACAAAAAATTTATCCAGCCAAAAAAGACCCAAAATAAAACCACTTTAACAGTACTGTTATATTTATTAAGTGCACAGGTACTTGAAATGAATAGTCTTATATTGCTGACTGATTTCAGCCTTGTTTAAGAGGTTTTTAGTAGTTTACAAGTCAATCAATCCTATTTTGATAATTTGTAATCATCAGTCAGTTTTTATCTCCATTTTCACGAAATTGTAGTTATTTTGATTACAAAGACTGTAGTAGTTTAAAGTCAACATGAAAGTTCAATATTGTAACATTTATACCATAACATAATTATGTTGTAAGAGTGGAAAGAAGGTTACATGCCAGAAATTGGTGTAACAGCCAGTTCAGAGGAGACGGGCTCTAGTGACAAGACTGTCAGCTATGTGACGCACACGTTAGTGGATGATGTATCAAGCATGGAGACATTATGTCAACCATCATCTCTGAAAAAAGGTATCGATGTAAACCATCGTTAGTTTGAGGTATAAGGTCGGTATTTGTATAAAAATAAATAAAGGCAAAATCAAATGCTTTTCTACATTTGCAAAGTTATGTTTGATAATAAATACCATAGTTGCATGATAATGTTGTTATGAAATGGCTGAAATCGGGGTGCACAAATAATTTCTTCAATATTGTTGCTTGTGACAAGTTTGTTTAATTGTTGATAAGATAGGTCTGTCACTGTTTGGAATTATATCAGACTAACAGGGCTGACTACAGATGTCAAAAGTAAGATCGGCATTTGATTTTAATAGGGAGAAAGGATGTTACACCAGAGGAAAGAACAGATAATCATGTAAGTGACTTAAAGTTTGCCTTAATGGTTAATATCATTTAATCTTTAATGTCATATATATCACTTATCTGTTTATTCAATCTATCACAATTCTGTCATTGCAATGTATTGTTCAAATCATCTTGAATCTGTGGGTCATTGTCCAGCATCAGTCCTTTAATCAATCAAACACAGAATCTGCCTCTAGCTGAAATTGATGTTAATACAGATAAAACAACGAGCTCAAATGTGGTTTTAGCTGATGCGGAACTTGAAGTTACTCCTTCTAAAAAACAAAGATCAATTAAGAGATCTAATATCAGTATTTCACAGTCATTACAGATGCCAGTTAATCAGGAGTCCCAGCACTTTGTCCCGTGTCTGTCCCCTGAGAATGGATCCATCGTAGATTTCAACAGAAAAAGGATCACCAGTATTGCAGATGCAGTGTCACCAACTCGATGCAAGGCATATTTGGAAGCTTTAGAAAGAGAGGAAGATGAGAGACTAGAAAAACTGGCTACACCCAGTAAAAGTTTCTCTCAGTGTAGGGTATCATTGCCAGAGACAACTTTATACAGGCAAATGTCATCTTTAAAAGATCTAGATGTGCTCCAAACAAATTGTAATGGATATCAAACAGAAGATCAACTCCTTTCAGTTAAACATCAAGATGTGAGCAATAAAGTAACTAAAGATGAGACACCATCTTCCCAAACAGACAGTGAACCTGATAGTCAATTAACAAAGCGACGTCTATTTTTCTCTGGTGCTAAACGAAAAAGAGGAAGATCTTCTTTAGAAAGAAGTGAAGACACAGCCTTGATTAGCAAAGACATTTCTGGCCAACCAAATCTTGGGGACGAATCTATAGAGATTTTGAACAACTCCCCAGAATCTGCAATAATAGGCAAGGATAGGTCAGCAATCAAAGAGACAATATCAAGGAGTGCTGATGAAGACCACTGTATGACTGGTGAAGCACAATCTGTTATGGACTCGTTTAATGAGGCTATCATCATCAACAGTAGCCATGACAGTACATCTTCTGAAGTAAGCCAATCAGGTAAGTGGTGTGGACAGTAAAGGTGTGGATGTCACTCTTGGACAGTAAAGGTCTGATGGTCACTCTCTGATCTGCTGGTAAAAAAGGACATTCCTAACAACAGCCATTTGAGTAAGCGTTCAAGAAAAGTTGCAAATGGACATAATCACAGGATTATTTCATGCAGTAAGTTTTCTATGCTATGGTTTGTAAGTGTTCTCCACTTCATGTAAAGTTGTAACTGGATATTTCTTCTTGTCACAAATTTGTGTTTGGTTGCAATTAGACATTCTTGGGTCCCTACTTCAGGTACGGTCACAACTGGACATTTCTTTGTCACTTCCTCATGTGATGTTGCAACTAGACATTCCTGGGTTTCTACCTAGGGTAAGATCACAACTAGATATGCTTGGGTCACTACATCAGGTACGGTCACAACTGGACATTCCTTTGTCACTTCCTCATGTGATGTTGCAACTAGACATTCCTGGGTCTCTACCTAGGGTAAGATCACAACTAGATATGCTTGGGTCACTACATCAGGTACGGTCACAACTGGACATTCCTTTGTCACTTCCTCATGTGATGTTGCAACTAGACATTCTTGGGTCTCTACCTAGGGTAAGATCACAACTAGATATGCTTGGGTCACTACTTCAGGTACGGTCACAACTGGACATTCCTGGGCTCAGTGTAATTTTACAACTTGACGTTACAGGATCACTACCTCTTGTCTGTCAGTTCTTTACCATCTCAGGCGTCCCATACATTAATGATAATACACTTCATTCTGATGAAGGTGATAAAGTTGTGAACAAAATGTGACATTTTAATCTCTACTGGTTGTATTATAAGAAATTATTCTGTTGACTATATCAACCTGAAAAAATGTTCCGAAATACCTCTGGTAAGGTCACAACTGGACATTCCTTGGTCCCAACTTCAGGTAATGTTACAACTTGAAATGCTTTGTTCACTACTTCATGTCAAGTTACAACTCAACCGTCCTAGGTCACTGCTTCAGGTGGTGTCACAACTGAATATTCCCACCTGATCATATCTTTGTGTAAGGCTACAGCCAGTCATTCTTGGGAACTTACTGCATTACGGTCACAATGGGACATTACTGGAGTCACTACATCATAGTGATGGGAAATTTGTTAGATAGGATGATTGACTATCTGTTAAAATCTGTTAGGCTTTTCATTGTATTTAACCAGTTACATAATCAGCTGGCTGTGTGTGCAATGTTCATAGAAAAATAATGTATTCTTGGTTACACTAATATTTTCCTCCTTTTTTTCATAGCTTCAAACTAATTCACCTCACTTATCCAGAATTTGCTGAAGAATGAATGCATTTGGCAATTGCATCTTAATTATGCATAATATGAAAAAGGCAGGATAATGAAACTTAATGTATACATTGATTATAGGAAGACAATGTGCAGTGTACCAATGTAAGGGCCCACAACCCCTTGATTACAAAGTCTATTGCCCTTTGTTAAAAATTTGTGTCTGGAGGGTTACTTTGCCTGCATTTAAACTAGGATATTGAAACATGATGTATACATCTGTTATACAAAAGCAAGATGCATTGTAGGCAAGTCAGGGCCCCTGACCCCCTCAGAACAGAGTCATTGGCCTTTATTAAATCTTGTCATGTGCAGAGCTTTGCTTGCATTAAAACTAGGATAACAAAGCATGGCATATACTTTGATTGTACTAATATGATGTACAATATACCAAACTCAGGCCTGCAACCCCTTAATAACAGAGTTTATGTCTAATGTTAAAATTTTGTGTCTAGAGCACACTTTTAGATTGCTTGCATTTAGACTAGCATAATGAAACTTTATGAATACACAATGTCCAGTGTACCAACTTCAGGGCTTTTGACTCCTCAGTTTCAGAATTATTGCCCTTTGTTAAAAAAATTTGTGCGGAGCAGAACTTTGCCAACAGTTAAGCAATTATCATGAAACTTGGTGTAATCATTGATGATACTTAGACAATATGCTGTGTACCAAATTCAGTGCCATTGACCTCTAAATTGAATAGTTATGGCATTTTGTTAAAATTTTGTGTTCAGAGCATTACTTTGACTGTGTTTAAACTAGGATATTGAAATATAATATATACATCAGTTATTCTAAAGCAAGATGCAGTGTAGCAAAGTTGGTGTCCCAGGCCTCTCAGAACAGAATTATTGGCCATTAATAAAAATTTAGATATGAGCATAACTTTGCTTGCATTTAAACCAGAATCATGAAACTTGGTGTATACATTTGATCATAATAAGACAATATACTTTGTACCAAATTAAGGGCCCTTGACCCCAAAATTAGAGAGTTATGGCCCTTTCTTAAAATTTTGTGTCCAGTGAAGTCATTTTAGGGCGTGCATTCTTCAGTTTCACTGTTTCTCATGGTTTTTTTTTTTTTTTTTTGTATGCTCCCCCCAAATATTTTGGGGAAGCGTAGAGTTGCAGCTTTGTGTATCTATCCATTTTGCGGTCTTTCCATCTATCTTTTCATGTCTGGAGCATAACTTTGCCAAAAGTTCAGCAAGGATCATAAAACTTGGTGTATACAGTAATTTTTCATACTATGGCAAAGAGCACTGTACAGTGCACCAAATTCAGGGCTTTTGACACCTCCATTACGGAGTTATTGCCCTTTTTTTTTTAAATTTCTTTGCTTTCAAACTTGGGAAATGAAACTTAGTGTATACATTGATTATACTAAAACGATGTGCATTGTACATAATTCAGGGTCCTCAACACCTTGATTAGAGTTCCTGACCTTTGTTAAAATTTAGTGGGCAGAGCATAGTTTTAAATTGTTTGCATATAAACTAGAATAATGAAGCATTCTAAGACAATTTGCCATATGCTAAATTCTGGGGCCTCTCAACTCTCCAATTACAGAGTTATTACCCATTGTTAAAAATGTCTTGTTTTTAGCATATCTTACCCCACAATTAAACATGGATAATGAAACTTAGTGTATACATTGTTGATGTTAAGACAGTGTGCAGTGCACAGTGAAGCAAACACAAGGCCTTAGACCCTTTAATTACATAATTTATTACCCTTTTGTAAGAATTGTTTTGTCCATAGCATAACTTTGTATTCATTTAAGCCAGGATAACAAAACTTGGTTTATACATTTATCACACTAAAACAAAGTGCAGTGTATCAATTTTAGGGTCTGCAAACCCTTAAATCATAGATTTGTTGTCCGTTATTAAAATTTTGTTTCATGAGCATAACTTCGCTTGCATTAAAATTCGGGTTAAGAAACTTTATGTATACATTGGTCATAATAAGAGAATTGGCAGTATACCAAATTCAGGGCCCTCGACCCTTCAGTTTTAGAGGCATTGCACTTTGTATACCAAATTCAGGATCTGAAATCCCTCACTTACATAATTATTGCGCATTGTTAAAATTTTGTGTCACATCAAGTGATTTTCGGAAAGCATTCATTGTTTCATCAATACTCTTGATTTTTACAGTCTTAAAGTATAAAAATAGGATTGAGGATCAGAATGATTTATCAGAGGACGAATCTCTCCAGTCAGCCAGCCAATCACAGAACCTGTCTCTACAGGTACAACCCAGCCAGTCACAGAACCTGTCTCTACAGGTACAACCCAGTCAATCACAGAACCTGTCTCTACAGGTACAACCCAGCCAATCACAGAACCTGTCTCTACAGGTACAACCCAGTCAATCACAGAACATGTCTCTACAGGTACAACCCAGCCAATCACAGAACCTGTCTCTACAGGTACAACCCAGCCAATCACAGAATGTATCTTTCCCCACAGACAAGTCCAAGGTATGTAAAAAGTAGGAATCTTTGATATTGAACAAAGTTAAAAATAGTAAGGAGTTCACATCAACAATGAATGTTGTATTGACATCTGATTCAGAATGAAGATGACATCACACTTGAAGAAAACAGTACTTTGAAGTCAGTTTAGCATTAAGTATATCCAGTTATCTGACAAAGCAAATGTAGTATTCCAGATTCCAGGTATCTGTTTCATAGACGACACCCGCCATGTAATTACTAGCTCAACAGCCTAAATAACCACTGCATAGATTTTAACCAAATTTGATCTTAAGCACCTTCATATGGAGGTAGGGGTTGTAAATTGTTAAAGAAAAGTTGATAAATCCTAAGGAGACATGAGGGGCAGGCCAAAAAGGGGAAATTAAAATTAAACTTTTAGAATCTTTACAGTTCCCTTTATTCTGTCCCAATTTGGTGCGAGACATGTTAGGAAAAAGGAGATCAATTATGTATGAACAGTGGGATCTGGCCCATTGGGATCAAATGGTGGCCAAATAGTGGACATAGAGCAAGTTCTTTAAAATCTGTATTATGATGAGTTAATTTCAAACAGCTGCATCTTACCTCTTTTGATTGAGGGTTGAAGATGATTATTCTTTTGGAACACCTGGTATTATTCTCTTGTTACTTTTTCAAGAATATCCACATAAATCTGCATAATTGTTCATGTTTTGATAGAGTTTTATTGAATTTGAGTTTAGATTACAATTATGTGCTCATATTGGTATTTTCTTGTTGTTTTTATGTGGGGGCTGTAGAAGACATGTTTTGCTTCAGTATTGTTGTTTATAATCTTGAAACAAAAGGTCCATGGGGTCTTAATCACTCAGCTGGGTTTTTATGGCTTTAACTGCTCTATCCCAACAAAGGGAAAAGGAATGCCCTTTTGACCTCAACCATCAGAGCCTAGGGGGTCAGCCAAACCATTTAACAAAAGTCTCCTTCATGAAAGTATGCTTTTGACAAACTTGGGAAAGAAGCTACACATTCCTACACCCACCCTTCCTGCCTCAAAGGGTATAGAACTATCATTGAAACAATATTGATTTCCACATACCAGAGGACACATCAGACTAAATTGTGACAAAATCCGGACATTCCTACCCCTATTAGGCGGAGCCCCTCATGTTTAAGGTGGAGACCTCTTGTTTATACAAAATTGATACCCCTCTTCATCCAAGGATGCTTCAAACCAAATTAGGACAGAATATAAAATCCCTGAAGTCCAAATGAGCTAAAAATAGCAGATAACCCTGACATTTCACAGCTACTTAAAAGAAGATAAAATTATACATTGTTTGGTTCTAAAACTACAAATATGATATTCCAGGTTATTGGTGTTTTTGTGGAAGCATGCTTTTTTCAACTTTTGATTTCGGTCTTTTTCAGCTGCTTGCTTCACTTACAGACATTCCTGCACGGACAGAAACAGGAAGAAAGTTGCTTGAACTGAAATTTTGTGACAGACTGTTAAATCAGATTGCTGATTATTATTCACAGAAATAGTAGACATCTATTTAGTTTAAAAACAGTGATTTGGGTTAGGGTATTGTAGCTTGTTTCATGCATATACTGGAGATTTGAACATTAGACACCGACGAGTTTTGAAACAACAAAATTTGTGATCTAATCTGTGTTTTCATTGGCATTCTTACATTATGGACAAACTTAAAATATCTTCCACTTAAAATTCGATGACACATTTAAGCATGGCTTCATAGCAAATTCCATCAATGCTAATGTCGATCATCTGCCTCAGCTGGAAAAATAACTGCCGCCTTTGGGTTAGCTTCAGATTTCATGAGTATATCAGGGATTAAATCTTGGAAATTATCCAATGAAAAGAAGCGTTACATAACTTGAAGTTTATGTTTAATATCTGCGGAGGATGGACATTATTTTTGTAATTTGAATGTTACACAATGCTTTATCTTGAATCATTACGTTTGTTGACAAACAGGGAGCTTCCAACAGGAAACGCAGAAAACAGAGATTGAGTACTAGATCTGGCCTTTTGTTCCTATGATAGCAGTCAGTAGTTATATAAAAATATATCTCTATTTTTATATTTCAGGTTTTCTGAACTTTGAAAAGTTAAATAAAGCAGACACAAAATTTCTAAAATTGAAGTAATTGATGCAGACATCTATATTCACCAATAAGGATACTTCTTCACATTCTTCAGATGAATCACAATATTTCAGACAGTGTGTATTGTAGGATCATGGTCACATTTACTATTTCAGAAAAACCTTGTTACTGAAGGCTTCAATCCTTGAAAGATTTGGATCAAACTTCACACACTCCTCCATCATTTAGTTTGCATCAATCATAGTTGAATTGGGAGGTTATTTCTATTGTTTGCTGTGCCTTGTTTATGATAAGATATTGTTAAAAAAAAAAAGTAAAACAGTTACAAATAAAATACTGGTAATTGACATTAACATATCAACATTATGATGAGTTTTTTCCCACAACCATGTGGTTGGCTGTTTCGCTCTCATTTTCGTCACATTTATAAATACTTGGTTCATATTTTGTGTATGATGTGACTTTCGTAAACAATATTTGCTTCTGGTAAAAAAAGGGGTCCCCTGCTCCCCATATAGAGTGGAATTATGGGGCTCAAATATGGTACTTTTTCACATTCTTTGAAAATCTTAATATGTCATTCCACACTTTATTGTTTGCATTTAGCAATTGGTAAGGACCATAAATCTGGTAAAAGGCACTTGGACCTCTTCTTAAGATTTACATCTATTTCTTCTAAAGGGCCTGTTTCTTTGTCCCGAGGGATACACAAGACCATGACACACAAACGTAGAACTTTTCAGAATCAATGAATTTGGTCCAAATTCCTTTGCGGCAGTTAAGCCTTAATCTTTTGTCTCCAGAAGCTTCTCAAAGAGGAGCTTGTAAAGGCCTACTGAACTCTAATGTATTGGAAGTGAAAATACCAATTATTTCAAAGATAATTGGCTTTCAGAACTGCAATGCATCTGTCAAGTTTGTCCTTTGACCTGATGACCTTAGAAGTTTATGTGCACTTTGTAGTAAGTTTAATTTCCTATTATTTGTATACAAAATACCTACCATTTCTGAGATATAGATCCATTAAGAACTGTCATACCTCCATGTTTCTGTTAGCACAAACATTGTTACATTTAGCAGTGTTAAGGACCATAAATCTGGTAAAAGGATGGAACCTATTGGCTTTCAGGGATACACAAGACCATGACATGTAGAACTTGATTCAGAATCAATGCATAATATTGGGATGAGTAAACTGTATACAAAATTGTGTTTATAGACACTGATTCCTAGAAAGTTTATAGACACTGATTCCCAGAAATCCTACAGACAGACACCGATTCCCAGAAATCCTACGGACACTGATTCGCAGAAAGTCTACAGACAGGCACTGATTCCCAGAAAGTCTACAGACACTGATTCAAAGAAAGTTTATAGACACCGATTCCCAGAAATCCTACGGACACTGATTCGCAGAAAGTCTACAGACAGGCACTGATTCCCAGAAAGTCTACAGACACTGATTCAAAGAAAGTTTATAGACACCGATTCCCAGAAATCCTACAGACAGACACTGATTCCCAGAAAGTTTATAGACACCGATTCCCAGAAATCCTACAGACACTGATTCCCAGAAAGTCTACAGACAGACACTCATTCCCAGAAAATCTGCAGACAGGCACTGATTCCCAGAAAGTCTATAGACACTGTTTCCCAGAAAGTCTACAGCCAGACACTGATTCCCAGAAAGTCTACAGACAGACACTGATTCCCAGAAAGTCTACAGACAGGCACTGATTCCCAGAAAGTCTACAGACAAACACTGATTCCCAGAAAATCTACAGACAGGCACTGATTCCCAGTAAGTCTATAGACGGACACTGATTCCCAGTAATTCCACAGATTGACACACGAATTCCCAATTAGTCTACAGACACTTTCTCCCAGTAAGTCTACAGATTAAATCTACAGATGGACAGACTGGATCTCAATTAGTCTACAGACGGACAATAATTCCCAGTAAATCTGCAGACAGACACCGATTCCTAATGGATGTACACCGATTCCTAGCAAGGCTACAAAGCGATTGATTGTCAGCAAGTCTATAGACAGACACCGATTCCCAGACTGACGTAATAATTTTCAGTGAATGCACACGCGCTGATAGTCTACAAATAGACACACTGATTCCCAGTAAGTCTGCAGACACCGATTCCCAATTAGTCTACAGAGAGACACTGACTCTCAGTAACTCTATAGAGACCGATTGCCAGTAAATCTTCAGACATGCGCACTAATTAAATACATTGGATCATCTGGCAATATCAATTAAACTAAATATAGGGAAGGACAATTGATGCGGGCAAGGGTTATGGCAAATTAATAATACAATACTGAATGAAAAGAATACATTTTAGATATGATGAGGTGTTATGAGAATATTTTATGTAAATGTTTATATCGTAAAACAAGCTTTAAAAATACAATAGAATGTTGTAAATATAAATAATAATAAAGACCAAAATATTAGCATAAGCAACTTTGAGAAAAGATTAGCAATTTTAAATATGAAAACAAGCCTCGCATGGGATTGAAAAAACTGCAAGAGACGCTAGTGAGAAGAGACTGGAAACCTTTTACGAGAAACTGAAACGGGGACCACAAATAAATCGAGAATAAACCGGGTTGCAAGCCGGATATAAACATTGATTATTTTTAACTTAAAATACTTTTAAAAAATAGAATAATAAAGATAAAAAAATTGTTATTAAATCCTTTATACGATTAAATTGTTCTATGAAAATTCATATAAATCAACAAGTCCTAATACACATAATAAAAGGACATCATCAAAACACTGAAACATCAAAAACATTGACACAAATCGAAAATGAAGGGAATATCGTTAAAAATATGGTAATTGCCTAATTGAATGAAGGATACGAGCAACTTGGCTTAGCCACATTAATTTGAAAAAAATATATATATGTGTGTGTATAAATTAACTAACGAGATGGAGACCCAAACACTTTTGAATACAGACTGCAAAATTGCAGCATATGTTTTGATAAGTAGAAACATCGTATGTGATGTTAGGCAGTTACCGGACACCATAGATTTTTCAAGGAAGTTTACTTTTTATGCGTATATGTAGATTTTGCAAAAGCCTTTGATACTAGAGAGTGGAAATTCGTGTTAACTAGTCTGGAAAAGTATAGGTTCGGAAATAATTTTATTAAATAGATAAAAAAAATTCTATACAAATGTAAGATAAAAAAATTGGATAACTAAAGAGTACACTTGACGTTTGAAAATATACAACGAAAAAAAAACCCCGCAAAATCTAACCAAATTGTTCTGATAAAGTAAATATGCTTTATGCCAGGTATAAGGTGTCTGTCCTGTTGGGACATAGGTCGCTGCGTCACATAAGTTCACATAGGTCGCTGCGTCACATAAGTTATTATAACCATAGCGAACAGTCAGTGCCATATCTTATGAACCTCTCAACAGATTCGATTCATATTTACATACATGGGATCTAGATCATTCGTATCTTTTCTTGTACAATCCATGCATGTTCATCAGTTATCTCTCTCTCTCTCTCTCTCTCTCATATTTTAAATATGTTAATGTTCAGCATTATGATACTGGCTCACGAGTGGTTCACCCGTCATCAGTACCACGTGTCTAAGTGAAGTGTACAACGGAAGACGTTGGTAGAAGACGGCAGTATTAAGTACACAAGTTGTGTTGTGGTAACAGTATCAAGTTGGTTACACTTTCATACTTTCACACAAGAAAGCTTCACACGAAGACCTATTCAATACTTACACTAACCGGCAAGCAGCCCAAAAATTAACATAATTGTTGGTAATATGTTAAGCAATATAAACCAAACTTGTGTACTAATTCCTTACAGAATGTTAAAATCAAAATCCTTAGACGTTTTCGTATTATCTAACAATGAAAGGTAGAACGAGCGCTTGAATCATGTATCAGCTGAAGAAGAAATGGAACACGACAAAATTACTTAAATTGTATTGTGTATCTTTATTTTACATCATACAGACAACACATGACAATACTTTGTTATTCTCATATGGAGGACAAGGAAGAGATCCACATTGGGACAGAACAGCATAGAACAGAAGCCCGTTATCGTTCGTATTACCTCCACCAAGAACAGCCTGAGGATGACCGTCCATACAAATGAATTCGTTACCAGAATTACTTTTTGGGTACCCGGATGTCAGTAGACCTTCATATGCCACAGTCCAACCTGGGTAGCACGAGGTACGACCAGGTATCATGTTGATGATGGAGTGGGCTGAACTTCTACACACGGCGCACGGTACGTCTTCACTAAAATCAGCCATACCGAACACGGTTGTGTCGTCATACTCGGCGCCATACAAGTAGGATGGATAGGTGAGGGATGTATTTTTGTGTGGCCCCCACGTAGGGTCAGGGGGCATGCACAGTGGATTGGCAGCCGGACCAGCAGCGCTGTACCAGGATCCACCGGCATAACCTGATAAAGAAATATATAATGATTTTCTGTTTGTTTTTCATTGTCGGTATCCAAAACTTGTCTACTAATGGCAACGAAGGAATCTTAAAAGTCCGGTCTTCACCAGTTTCCATTTAGAATATCTTTTCAGTGCTTAGATTGGATTACTGTCAAAAACCATAAATGTTTGTCAATGTTTAGCTGACTGACTGGAACCTTCCTGGGGTTCTGGTCAAAAACATTGAACAATTACAACAAGACCTGGCCTGGAATCACGGAATTGGCTGGTAGGTTCCCTGTATGACGCTTTGCGATAGGAAGTGACTTTTAACACGCTTTCAAGGTCTTCAAATTTAAAAAAAAAAAAAAAAACCAAATGAGTTAGCATTAAGGCTTATGAGCATTATATTTGACCGGAATGTTAGTGGGCGTGGTCACCTTCGTTAACACGAAAATAAGATAGGATCAAAATTATTGTAGACAAACAATGTTTGCCTTACATTGAAAGAATACTGGTTTAAGGAGGAGTTATATTATCCACTTTGAATTTTAATTATGAATTATGTTTACGTAAATAAATCACCGTATGGTAGCCACACAGGATATTGGTACTAAGCGAAGCGGCCGGAACTTTCATGCGGGCCGAACGAGAGGTAACATATCGGGAAATTACTAGAATAGTTATTTTTAAGGGTCACACATGAACTGTATTTGCAACGTTTATTTAAAACGATTTTCGTCGCCAGCATAACCAGAACTAATAGTGATGGAGTGGCATAATCTTCCATATCGTCCATAAAGTGGTTTCTGTTTCAGTATGAACAATATTAACATAGATTGTCCATTATTCCTGGAGGCAATTCAAATCAAATTCAAAATCTTAAAAAAAAATATTTTGGAAACTGGTGATTTGAAAATTGTTGAAAAATTTGTGTACGGCATATTGATTTGAAACAGATTGAAATTTGCTAGATACCATATATTCTCATACTGTGTATGCTATGCATAGAAATAACGCCAGTTATTTGCATTTTAGCTCGCGTTGCCCGAAGGCCAAGGGCCAAAAGGGCAACAGAGCAAATTCTTTTGAAATCCTACTGTTCTTGTACGAACAATTGAATTTTGCCCAAATCGGTTTGATGCATGTTTGGGCGAAGGGGAATAAATTTCGTGAAAAAGGTGGGTCTTCGTTTCCTAGCGCAGGCTTGGAGGGGGTAAAGATGGAATTGGTCAAACAGTTGAGATCCCCACCCCATATCCACATTCACGACGTAGGAATTGGCCCTGGGGTGTCCCCTCGGGACTTAATTTCTGGGTTATATCGTAGAAACGGTAGAGATCCCCACCCCATAACCATGTATAGAACTACTAGGCATCAAGGAAAACCTCAATCATGATATAAGAATTGACCCTGGGGTCTGGCCCCGGCGCGCAGTTTCTGGTTAAAATCTTTGAAATAGCCAACCCATAGGAACGTATACTGTTACTGGGCTTCAACCAGAGAGTATAATTCCGTATCAGGGTACATTTCCCTGTAAACATAAACGAGATGAACACAAAAGAGGGGAGCACGGTGAGAAGACATGTAACACACGCGTTTTTAAAGGGACTTAATATCGTTGCCTCGTGGTATCAATTAGGAAAATCCTTAAACTGTGTTTGTGGCTTTTGATTATTTGTGTTTATTAAGACGCCGCCTACCTTAGGTAACATCAAGCAGCCGTACACAATACCTCTTAGTCGCCGTACATTTTCGAAAAAAAAACGAAAAACAACTTTTCTTTGCGATTTTGACGTCAATTTGAATTATCAGCAGGAACTATGTTCAATCTACGTTTATAGCAGAAATACTAGAAAAGAAACGACATAATAAGCATGAATGTAGCTAAAAATGAATGCTCAAATATTTTGTCAGTACTAGAAGGCCTGTTGTTTGTTTGGTTTTGTTGACTGCGGAAATCGTTAAAACATCAACATATCTAACCTGGTGTTGAGTGGTTCTTAAGATATAGTTTTCTCTCGATATCTTATGGATACTCCAGGAGTTACGATCATTTTCGTTCCCTGGAACATGATATGCTCCTTTTGAGGATTACAAAGGAGCGACAGAAAACTACAAAGCCATTACAATATATCGTTACGCGACCTCGAGAATCGTTTGATGAGCATCAAAGAATCAATCTAGTCTTTTCGCCTTTCCATAGGCTTTACCATGACATGCGAAAGTGATCCTAACCCCAAGATTATCGAGGATGCTTGCCTGCTGACAAACCCTTGCCGCTTCTCTTGATACCAATATCCGGTGTCGTTCCCATACGGTGATATTGTGCATTTGAAAAAAAAAAATTTTAAAAAAAATTCCATACAAGGCATGCGATGCAGAGCCATTGGTCATATTGTCAAACATAGCTCGTTAAAATATATTTTAGGATTTAACAGAACAAAAACATTCATTAAAATGCGTCTATTTCAAAACTAATGGAAGAAATGATCGGCATTCGAAATGGGGATCAGCAATATTACCTTGACCATTAAACATTAAGATTCACATAGACAATGCATGCGATGCGTATAATAAACAACTTTTTCATAGCAATTACGTAATCGCGCCGTACCAGAGTAGACCAGCTGGTTCCCACTGCCCTCGGGACAGTCTTTTCTGCCCCATCTGGTGTAAACCACGCCTCGACCCCCTGTAAACAAAAAAAAACGAAATGCTGTAAGTACCATATTGATCCTTCAAGAATATTTTGAATTGATCGCAACTCTTATTTTTATTGCTTTCAAATTGATCAACATTTATCTTGCAGACTGTGTCGGTCGAGACTTGTAAAACCGTTTTGCATGACCCATTTGACATTGCTAATAGGAGTCGTCTCGTCTGTGTAATAATTTTCTCTCTCAAGAGCTCATCGGAAATCGCTATCGGGACAAACGTAGCTAGGCACGTTTGAATGCTAGACATAGAAAATGTTTCTCATGATATTCTAGGACAAATGGAAGTATGTTTATTATTGTGTTGTTTAATGGACGTATTAAAGTCATTCTAAACTTTATTTTATGCTTAATATCAATCTAAATTTTAAATAGTAGAGGTCGAACTGACATCTGCCGAAGACGTGTAAACGACATAATAGCAGTAATGGTAATGTGAATGATTATTAAATTATTAAAACAGCTGTGATATTCTAGATAATCAAAAACCCTGTTCGCTATCTCCATATTCCGCTAAAGGAAGGGTATCCGGATCTGTTAATTTCCGATATTGGTCGGCCTGATGATGTTTTCCTTTCTGTATAATCTAAGTTCACAGCTTTGGCCATACGTTTTACTTAATAACTAATTTCTTAATCAAGATTTCAAACGATTTTTTGTTCTTCGCAATATGAAACCTAGAACCAGCAAGTTTGAGATTCAGAGGTGAGCTATTCTCACTTTTCAGATGGATTATAATGGTTTTGTCATTATTTAGGTCACCCATGTGAGTAATTCATGACAGGATATAAATATATATCTTTGAAAGACGTTTGAGTAAAGTGTGTGACCTAGGACCTGTTGTGCCAAAAGAGGCGTGAGATGGATAAACAGCAGTTCTCTTACCATGTCGAGGCCAACATTTAAAAGCGTAAAAAAGTTCCTTAACTTTATCATAATTCCCATTTGAAATACCTTTCCTTTTTCTTGCTAATCATTTACACATGAACAGACATTGATATAGCAGGATTCCATCCAATATAGTTCCATACCTTATCAATGTTGTTACAATAAGAGATAAGTGTGTAGATAGAGGCTGTTCAGTAATTTTTAGTTATGGGGAAGTTTTACTGTAGTCAGGACGCTTACTCTGTCGGAACACCTGGTCTTATTCCCTTCTTCAGGAGTCTCCGTTTAAGTCTTTCTTTTGTTCACAGCTTTGATTACGATTATGATGACATGTTGGTATTTTCATGCCTTTTTTTAAAGAGAGACTTCAACGTTTAATTCAATATATGGTTTTATTGCATCTACTTCATCAACAGATTAGGTCATGTGGAGCGCTGGACACATTGAGATGGAAACCTGCAGGGAAAATTAGATAACATTTTGCATTGAAACGCTACTTTACCTAGTGCCGAAATGGATTTCTATCTTCAAACTTACGATTTTGTTTGTTTGCTTTTGGGTTGTTTTTTTTTTTTACCAACAGGTGTAACCCTGGTAAATTACTAACCGCCATTCGGCTAGAGAGAACCTCTCTTTAGATCCATCGGTTAAAGGTCAACCATGTGAACCGGACGTCCTGTGTTCTTATCTTATCGATACATTGAAATAAACAATGACCTTTGACATTGACAGGCAATGTGGCTCTCGAGAATATCATTTAGCGTTATTCACAAGCATCGTTACAACCCCGGGAAACTCGAGAACGATTTAATTTCCTTGAGAGGGATGCATGTAACTCCTCTCAGCTAGAGAGAACTTCACTCTTTATACCTTATTTGGGGGGTGGGGGGTGGGGGGGGGGGGGGGGGGGGTTGGTTAAATAGATAATGACCTCTATAACATTGTTACCGTGTAACCTTACCAAAGATTGTACAAAAGACACAAAATTGAATAGCACCATTTCATAATTTAGAGTGAGATACAGTAGAGCCAAATAACCAATTAAACTGCATAACATAGCTGTTTCGTCCTTCTAGGACTCGTCAGTGATTCTATATCATACAGCTGTTTCGTCCTTCTAGGACTCGTCAGTGATTCTATATCATACAGCTGTTTCGTCCTTCTAGGACTCGTCAGTGATTCTATATCATACAGCTGTTTCGTCCTTCTAGGACTCGTCAGTAATTCTATATCATACAGCTGGTTCGGTCTTCTAGGACTCGTCAGTGATTCTATATCATACAGCTGTTTCGTCCTTCTAGGACTTGTCAGTGATTTTATATCCTACAGCTGGTTCGGCCTTCTAGGACTTGTCAGTGATTTTATATCCTACAGCTGGTTCGGCCTTCTAGGACTCGTCAGTGATTCTATATCATACAGCTGTTTCGTCCTTCTAGGACTTGTCAGTGATTTTATATCCTACAGCTGGTTCGGCCTTCTAGGACTCGTCAGTGATGCTAAAGGCCTAAATTTTGAAGCCATGGAAGCAACTAAGGAAAATCCAAAATGATCAGCGAAAAAGTCAAACTCTAGACTGGGAGGTACAGCAGCCCCATAATAAGATAAATTTTGTAATTGTCATACAGTAGATAATTTTAGAAAAGCATCAATTACGCGTATATTTTCTGAACAGTGCCACTATTCGAATGCATTTAAATGTGGCAAGCAGGTTACAGCAAACCTCGAGGACTTAAAGTCCACCAGCAGTGTCTACCACCGACTATCTTAAAGATTGTACTTCAGACATACAAGTGAAGAACCAAAGTTAATTTTTTGCATTACTAACAGTCATTAACGCAGGACTATGGAAAGAAACTAACTAAAGTTGTCTTCCCTTGAAAATGATAAACTATATGCCCATTGAACTACCCGTAATTGGCGTATCGCGGCATTTCAGATTCCAACTGCATAAAATCAAATTCATCATAGTGCTGCATTGAACTTGGCCTTACCTTGTTGGCCTATGGTGGTCAACTGAAAGCAGTTCGATGTTTTCATATACATTTGTAAAGTATACTGCTTTGAAGAGTTTTTGTAAGAGATCTGTTATATAATTAACAACTGACACCCGCTTTTCATTCCATCTGACATAAACACTTAAGGTTTATTGGTTATTTTTGACGGAAACAACTGATACATACCTTGACTGGTAAGTGTGGTGATAGTCGACTGTTGGCTGTCTATGGTGTGTTGTTGGGTGGTGACTTTAGCTTGGAGCTGTTGTAGTTCGGACTCTAGACGGTCTAGTTCATGGGCCACATAAGCGGGATCGGTCATCAAAATACGACGGTCCTTGGCGGAGGTCGGACCTACGAGGTACACGAAGGACAGTGCAAGGACATAACGGTACATTTTGTTAGGCACTGGTGGAATATCAAGTAGGATAAGGATCGATAGAGGTCAGAGTTCGTATTTAAGGCTCGTATAAAAGATAATGGGAAATACGTAGATCTAAGGAGATAACGAGATATACGAGCATTTGTAAAACTCTGACTGACCAAGAATACGGTCACGTGTGGGTAACGTTGAACCGGTAACTATTTGCTGTTATATACACGTGTATGTCGTTTTTTTTTAATCCAAACAGCAGGTATATTATGTTGGTACCGTCATATCCGAAAATCGACTGGCCTACAAGTACATTTAACTGCTGAGAGTTCTCTCTTATTTTTCTTTGAAGAAGAATATTGGATTGGTCAACGTAGAGGTGGTCATTAAATGGATGGTTCACCACCTGGTGTCTATATAGAAATAGTTCACCACTTGGTGTCTATATAGGAATAGTTCACCACTTGGTGTCTATATAGGAATAATTCACCACTTGGTGTCTATATAGAAATAGTTCACCACCTGGTATCTATATAGAAATAATTCACCACCTGGTATCTATATAGAAATAGTTCACCACTTGGTGTCTATATAGAAATAGTTCACCACTAGGTGTCTATATAGAAATAAATCACCACCTGGTATCTATATAGAAATAGTTTACCACCTGGTGTCTATATAGAAATAGTTTACCACCTGGTGTCTATATAGAAATAGTTCACCACCTGGTGTCTATATAGAAATAGTTTAACACCTAATGTCTATATAGAAATAGTTTACCACCTGGTGTCTATATAGAAATAGTTCACCACCTGGTGTCTATATAGAAATAGTTTAACACCTAATGTCTATATAAAAATAGTTCACCATCTGGTGTGTAAAAATAAATAGTTCACCACCTAGTGTCTATATAGAAATAGCTCACCACCTGGTGTCTATATAAAAATAGTTCACCATCTGGTGTGTAAAAATAAATAGTTCACCAACTAGTGTCTATATAAAAATAGTTCACCACCTGTGTCTATATAGAAATAGCTCACCACCTGGTGTCTATATAGAAATACTTCACCATCTGGTGTGTAAAAATAAATAGTTCACCACCTGGTGTCTATATAGAAATAGTTCACCACCTAGTGTCTATATAGAAATAGCTCACCACCTGGTGTCTATATAAAAATAGTTCACCATCTGGTGTCTATATAGAAATAGTTCACCACCTAGTGTCTATATAGAAATAGCTCACCACCTGGTGTCTATATAAAAATAGTTCACCATCTGGTGTGTAAAAATAAATAGTTCACCAACTAGTGTCTATATAGAAATAGTTCACCACCTGTGTCTATATAGAAATAGCTCACCACCTGGTGTCTATATAGAAATAGTTCACCATCTGGTGTCTATATAGAAATAATTCACCATCTGGTGTGTAAAAATAAATAGTTCACCACCTGGTGTCTATATAGAAATAGTTCACCACCTAGTGTCTATATAGAAATAGTTCACCACCTAGTGTCTTTATAGAAATAGTTCACCACCTGGTGTCTATATAGAATAGTTCACCATCTGGTGTGTAAAAATAAATAGTTCACCACTTGGTGTCTATATAGAATAGTTCACCGCCTAGTGTCTTTATAGAAATAGTTCACCACCTGGTGTCTATAAAAGACTGGTTCATTACCTAGTGTCAATATAGCAATGCTACACTTCCTAGTACCAATTTACATCAATGAATATTAGAAAGGTTCACCTTATGGCGACAATATAGAAAGAACAGGAATGTTAACACAGTCGAAATCCAAAATAGCAATTTAATTAAACGAGAATACCATATCAGGAAAGCACGTGAGTAGAATAAGATAATGTGTTCCACAAGGACAACAAGCTTCAATCCAGCGTGTTGTTTATGCATCACTGGTGGGCTGTCACCATTCACAAATTGTACTATACTTTTTTTTAATCAAGAAAATACCACTATGACAACATAATCATAATTTAAACTCAAATTCCATAAAACTGGGGCAAAATGTGAACAAAATAAAGATTTACAGGGAGCTTCCTGAAAAAGTACAAGGAGAATAAGACCACGTGTTTCTGAAGAGTAAGCGTCTTCTGCTTCATTGGCGACATCCGCTAGGTAAACCTTGGTCAATCCAAGTAAGCAATGTCACGTTCGCACATGCGAACAAGGTTTAAAACAACGGAAGATTAGAGTGTGACGTTTAGATGACTACACGGTCACTTTCATCAGACAAACTACCAGTGTGGTTAGTGTGGTTAGTGTACATTGGATTATTGTACAGCTGAAAAAGTGAGTCGATTCCTGACCATCTCGCACACTACCTACATCGTTGGTAGTACACGTCTCACTTGTCTAACTTCAATATAAAACCAAGTTTTAGCCAACGAGTTTAACCTATCTAGATTTCTATTCAGAGTTTCTTGATTTTCAAAACAAGACCATGACTTAAATAACGGTGTCTCAACTGCCAATAGAGGCTGATTGAAAGACAATTGCAATATCATAGGTACAAGTACACTAGAATAGAAATAATTATAACCAGAGAGGAGAAAAAACACTTTTGGCGTCTTTAAGTTGAATAATTTCCAACTAGAAGCATAATTCGCCTGAAGTGCCAAACGATTGTAATTAAACCAATAAACACATATGCAAAACTCTAACAAAATCTTTTGAAATATCACAAACACTACATTTTTTTCTAATTGAGAGCGGTACATATATTGATTGTGCTAGGACTAACTCATCCTATGAGAATGTATATATTTTTGGATAACAGAGAGGCCGGGTTACATAAATTTTACTAAACGGTTTATTAAAACCGTGTACATTTTGTCTCGTACAACAGTCATGACTGAAGGGAAACAACTCTCACTATACTTTTTTTGGCTAACTAGGGTGAATCAAGGAAGTGTACATATCACTTAAGTCATTAATCCTTGGTATCAGTTCATTTTAAATCATTATAAATCTTACTGACGAATATAGGAGAAAAATGAGTTGTAATTATTGAATTAGTTAAATCACATTAACTGTTAAAAAAGGACAGTGTAGTTACTTGGAATTAAACTATATCTGACAAACTGTGCAATGAATTCCGCCATACTATTCTGTCGGGTACTACGTGTATGTATGACAGCTTCAGCTATTCAGCGAATGAAAACGAAAATAAATAAATGTAAAGTAAAATAAACTTAAAGTTGAAAAGAATTTGATAATCTGAATGGGACCAGGAAGAATTCCTCTTAAATTCAACATTTCAATGAATTCCTCTGTCAACAATGTCTTCTGCATTTCTCTTTGTTCCTACCCTACAATCATCCGAGACATATAAACACGAAATTAACATATCTTGGCCTCAATAACATGCTTCATTATTTGGATATCTTATTAATGATTTTGAATTATTTTATAATCTGAATCAGTGAAACCTCACTATTAAGACCACTTTGGGGACTGGACAAAAGTGGTCTTAATAGCGAGGCGGTCTTAATAGTGAGGTGGATCAGACTGACCGCAAAGAACCGTAACTCTGTTTAAAATAAAGAGTATATATATCATTATGTCATGGCATTTTTAAACAAAGAAATAAAATCAAACAATACAAGTTTAAACAAATATGTTTCTTAAAATGCTGTTGTATAGGCGTTACTTTATTTATTTATTTATCTATTTATCTAAAGCTGGCATTGTTATTTTACGCAAAAAAAACACGTACAATTTAAGTCATTATATCATTTGATCTAAATATATGATAGTGGTAGCGTGGACGGGGGAGGGGCATAAAAAATTCTGGGTTTCCCGAGGCAGGTCTATTTCCATAAGCGAAGCCTAAGAATAACAATGTTCCTTTTTTATACAACAGAACCTACAGTCGAGTCACACAGCCAATCCTCGGACCACTTGGAAGTACTGCTATGTATGAAGAAGATCCGTAAACTGTAGTCAGTTCGATCACTTTCAAACTGCGATTCGACCACAGGTTGAGATTATCTGTCTACTGATAGGGCTTTGTATAAGTTGTAAGACTTGTTCCCAATCCTATTACAAATGACATGTAATAAAAACATGCTTAATTCCAATATAGCCAAACCCTTCCGAGTCTACAGATAAAGGATCTTCAGTTCATAATGGTATATCTACGGGTATTTTCCCATATAATACCACTGGTGGTAAATCTAATTATTTGAAACGATCCGTTTTTATGAGCTTGAAAAACAACAACGCCGTTCCATTCTTATGGCTATGACGTCACAGTGAAACGAAGGGCGGTAACTCTGGGATATCAAAATGCATCTTTTCGTATATAAGTGAAAATGCGATGACGTCACTCCAATGGCAGATTTAATACAATCTTGTACGTAGAAACACGCGTGATTTACCCAACAGGGTTCCATGGCCTCTTTTTTAACATAGCTTCTGGAATGACAATATGTAAATATATGAATAAAAAACGAGATCACGAACTATCGACTACCAAGGCGAGATCTACTGGTTTACTCATATTTAATGAAAATCAATTAATATTATCTTTCAATGCCTCTGCCAGGGTTCGATCATGGAACCTCTTGTTTACTTGTCTGGCGAATATTGACTAAAATATTTTTTTTAAGAATTCGGCTTTGTACTGGGTTATAAAAAAAGACCCATATATCCATCAATATTTCCAAGGTCCTTACGTAGATTTCAGTACAATATATTTTATGTCAGGCATCGAAATCTGTCATCCATTGTATTTGTTTGGTATGTTAATCCTTCGATGCCTTTACTAGCCTAGAGACAGACAAAGATCCATGTCATTCTTCAATTTACGAGTCTGCTACAGGAATGATAATTTATTAATACGAGAATGTAAAACTTTACCCAGTCTATTGATTTTAACACGATCTATATATATATATACCATGTGATGATGATAGATTTATCTGAGGGAAATTAAAGTAGACATAAATTAAAAATTCTCTCCAATCCATTAATTAAATTACTCTAATCAGTTACCCGGGATGAC